ACACCTGAGGAGGCATCTTCCACAAGCTGTGTTGCTAGGTTCAGAGACCATTGGTTGTTGCGTGTCATCCATGATGTGACATGGTCGCTTCAACTGCGGTCAACAGGTGGATGCTCTGCCCAATGCTGGGGCTGGTGCAGAATATGCCCAGTGCGCCTCTTGCTCAGGGCACGAATCCTCTCTTTGTGCATGCAGCTGCGCCAAGCCACAATTCCAAATGCCATCATGTGTAGCTCTTGCGGAGGGTTCGCAACAATAAACCTTGGCTTGCTATGATTAAGACCATTTATTCAAGAGGAATCTAGCGAATCTTGCGCTTTGCTCTGTGCCAAGGCTTTTACGCCGTATCGCCTCAGACTGAGACATGTGTAGTGTTTGCAGAGCAGCCGCGAAGTCCATAGACGGTCGTTTCACAAATCTGCTTCCAGTTTGGCCCATACTTCTTGTTGGTTACATGATGCCGTAGCTCAGGACCTGGGCCATCCCGCGACACATGGAGGTGCCATGCTTGGCTCATATTCTGATCCACCCTGCTGACGGTTTCTATTTGTCCACGGAAGCGCTAGATTTGTGTGCGTGGCGTTCTGTTCCTCCGCGTGGCTGTTCATCTCGGCCGAAGGGGCTTTGCAGGCATTTCTCCGCAGGCGGCGCCAACATATGATCTCCTATGATGAAGCCTGCGTTTTGTCCCCACTTAGCTGCCCGAGCCCACGAGAGTACGGCACGTCGCGTTGTCCAATTTGGGAGAGCCCCCCACGGCATCGAGTCAACTCGTTTGCTAGCAGCTTCTCAAAAAGGCTATTGTGCAATTGCCTTCTTGAAGCACAGGGCTTCTTCTTGAGTTCCTAGCTGTCGGTGTGCTAGGCAATTTGGGCAGCGTTCCGTGGCGCTGGCGGCAAGCGGGCCGGGATCAAAGCGAAGCAAGGCGACCTTTCGCCTGATTGAAAGATTGGCTTCAGGCTCCTCTCAGACTGGCCGCGTCCACTCCGTCCGGTAGATGACCCGCACGTTGCGTTCTCAGATAGCCCAGGGCCTGGCACAGGAGGGGCTGTTTATGTACGACGGGGACCTTCATGTTGATGGCAATCTGCTGCTGCAGACGAGAGCTGCACAAGCGCTTGCTGGCCTTTCCTTTACTGGTCGAGTCTAGCCTGCAACAGTGCCAGCCAGGTACGCGCAATTGCGCAAAGGAACAGACGAAGCGGTGCTCAGGCATCTGCACATGCCGCGCGCATGCTTCAATCTTGGGAAATTGTGCAAAACACCCTTGCAGGTCTTGATTCGCTGGGCCCTTCAACTCGGGCTGGCCGTGGTGTTTCACGCCGAAAGGCCGACCTCATGAGAACACAGAGTTAAGTCTTCTGGAGCGCAGCAAGACTGAGGGTGCAGCACGTCGAAGAGAATTTGGGATCCCTGGACTTCGAACTGCCTCTCACGGATGTGCAGCTGATCAGCGGGTCAAAGGCTGAGGTTCCATCATTCCCGCGTCGATCAGAAGGAGTAGGTTGGCCCTGTGCTGGAACCCCTCATGCTTGCTTCGTGCTTACATACTTGCCTGCCTAGTTCGCACTCCTCCCAAACACTCAGGCAATCTGTCGAATTGCGTGAACATCAAGTTTTGACTTGCTGTGTGAGCATGCAGTCGAGGCTGGTCACCCTGGCGGCGCCAGTTCCTCCCGGTGACGGCTTCGCAACTTTGGCTCCATTGATGAAGGTGTATTTTGCTTGACACTTGGTTCAAGTAGCTGCAACATGGGACTTGTGAGCCTGGCCATAGCAGTCTAAACAGGCGTCGCAGTGAAGCTTGTCAGTGCACTGAGAGAGAAGCGCTTCAAGTGGGTAGGTACAATGCTTAGGGTACTGACTGTAGCCTCAAGTTTCGCGGCAGCTTGATCATCATGAAGGTTGCTTCAGCCTGCTTGAGTGAGGCACATCCCTACACACCCCCGCGGGCTGCAGTGAGCGAGCTTTGAGCTTGTCCAGCCAGCTTCTCCAAGCATGCCTGTCTCAGATGACCTGGCGGATGCTTTGCTCGCAATCTGCGAGCGCCTTTGCATGTGAGAGTTGTTCTAAAGGTCCGTGTCTGCTGGTTATACGTGGGCAACCGCTTCAGATGGTGTAAAGGGACCGCAAAAGTTTCGCGAAAGAAGACAGTAGAGGACTCCACTTTTCCCGCGAAAGATATATGACAGCAGTGTCATGCAGTAAACTATAGTAAGGGCCCCTAATTTCTGGAAACTCCCATGTAAAGGCCGAAATCTACAATTTGATCCTTCGAATGTTGGCGTCCAAGTTGATACCCCAAGTTGACCCGCATGTGAAAATAGCCTCCGCGAACGTTTCTCGAAAGAAGACACCACAGAAATACACTTCTTCGCGAAAGTTGGCCAAATCCAAGAACAAGAATTTTGAACAGCCGCCATGTAAAGTGGTTCTTTCGGTTCTTCAGACTTGTCTTGCCCCTGGCTCAAGGCACATGCCAGAGCAATGCTTCATCTTCATGATTTATGCGCATGTCACGCAGCGAGCCTTCTACTGCGTGTTTCATCGCCTAGATGAATCAGGAACGCATGCAAAGCTTGGCAAAAGAGGTCGGAATTAAGAGCCACACGCACAACCGTTCTTCATCAGTTTGACTTCACAATTGAAATGCCTGTGGGCGATAGCGTTCAGTGCCATGAGCTGTAGACAGATGCTGAGCTGACCCGTTGCCTCTTCGTTCCAGGCAGTTTTCAGTTTTGAGGCAAAGCTGGGTCCTGGATCCGAGCTAAGACGTCTTAGCGATTGGACACGACCGTTTACTTCCGGGGCTGCCATATGCAATGGGGAAAACTACAGTAACATGTACTCTTGCTTTGATTGGCTCTTACCACTCAGAAGAGGAAATAGGGGCTTTAGGATCATCTACTGCGCATTCGACTGTAAACTGTTCGATTATGCACAGAGGTGCTGGTCCAGTGAAGACATCTGGCAAAAAGGCAAAAGGACCAAGTTAAATTGCTGTGTAACAACGGTCCAGGTCTAAGAGAAATTTGAAAGGCTCATATCAGGTGCAGGATTGAGTGTGGTAATGCTGCGCCCAGGAGGCTCACGTGAGTGGGAGCTCAAGCAGCACAGCATAAGATATTGCTCCCAGTGTATGCTACTGACACTTTGCTGCTGACCATTGCAAGCCAACATCTGAGACTGCGCGGAGAAAAGCAAGCTTGGCAAACATGACCATAGCATCATGAAGGCTCTGCACTTCAACACTTTTACTTGCGTGTCCCGCTTTCCGACATGAACCTGGATCAGTGTCGGTGCAAGCCTTGCAGCCCTTGCGGTGTAGGCAAATATTTCCTGAAAGCGTTTGGGGCTTTCCGCTGCTGAGCTCGCTTCGGGGAAGGAAGGGGACGGAGGGCGGGACGGGGGCTGGCAGGCATGAAAGGCGCTGCTGCACCACCTCAATCCTGGTGTGTTCTTCAGTTTGTCAGTTGCAGGTTGCAGGTGCCAGTTACAATTCAAGTCAACATCTTCGCTTGCACTTGAAGATACTGAGAGCCTGGATCGCACGAGCATGTCGTACCACTTCGCAGAGCTGCAGCTGACAGGGGCACAATGGCTGGCAATAACGAGAAGGCCCGTCCAGGCCGAAGTCCTCACTGGTCAGTTGGTGTCTCTCGCGTGTTGACTTCACTGCTACAAGGCGATTGGAATTGCCCAGTCTGCAAAGATCTGCAGTTTGCCCGCAACAGTAGCTGCCGGCGGTGCCGCCTTCAGCTTTGTTCAGTTTCTGCCAGACGTCGTGCAGTATACATGCGCACATATGTACTATGCATGTGTTATATACACAAGTATGCGCGTGTGCCTATTTGCATTGTACACCCAAACACAGATACATGCACCTGACTTGATGTGCTAAAAGGCCTGACTGTGCCTGCCTGTCACTCCGTGCGAGAGGCAGAGGAGGAAGCAACATGACTTCAGTAACATTTCACTTCCCTACCCTGAACCCTAAATACTCGCCCGTAGCGTCGCCTTACCAGCGTGCCTGCACACTCGCCGTTTCCTGTTTGCACCTCGAGATGGGCGGAAGTGCTCCAAGGTGCGGAGGACCCAAGCCGACTACGCAGAACATGGGGCTGGGAACTTGGAGCTGTGTTGGGTACCACCTTTGTTTCTTTGCAGAGAGCGTGAGCTGGAGATGTGTTTCAGGCAAGCGGCAAATGCCTTCTATCCGTGTGGAGGCCTGATACCTCGGTCCGAGTTGGAAGCGGCAATGTTTTTCTTATTGCTGGGGAATGTCCGGGATTCTTGTGGGCATCAAGTAGAACTATGAAGTACGAGATCATTGTAGGCATCGTTTCCTACATCTCCCAAGAACAAGCGGAAACAGCTAGTCTTCTTCGGCTGCCCTTCTGACTTGCCACATCAGTAGCCATTTGGCATCAACCATGAGATGCGTATCCAGCAGCCCTTGAGCACAACACAATTGCGCACAACAAAGGCAGAGCTTTCCGCAGCAAAGACAACCAGCCCCTTTCGACCTGGAGCCCATGCGTGCTCATGGCTGCCTTGCGCTGCTTGGTGGTGGATTGTGGTGGAATCACGCATCCAGACTCTGGTCTTAAAGAGGTGTCGACCCCAGGCACTATGCTGCGAGACAATTGTTTGAAGGCGAAACATTTCAAGAACATCCGCAAGCTGCTTCAGTTCCTACATGGTGCTTGGTAGCGACTGATAGCATTGATAGAATGGATCCCATTAGCGGTACTTACATAATTCCCTCTACCAAGTTCGTTCCTTTCAGCCATTCCCCGATTCCCTGCGAAGCAGAGAGAGTGAGGCTGTCGGCTGCCGAGTAGCGCCAGAAAGCTCCCAAGCCGCTGCGAAGGCCGCAAGCACAAACGCTGCGACTTAGAAACGTGCTAGAAATGAGTCCCTACCTTTTCTCAGAGTCCCTACCCACAGGAAGGATTGTCCGCTGTCTTTGTCGAGGTAGATGTCCGGACATACGTTGGATGTTTTTCAGACGGTTCTTGCAGGCAGCAAAGACGGCATGGAAAGCTTTCCGTGAAAACCCGGCAGCGACGAAGGACCCTCACTTTGGTGACCAGTGGAACTCAATAGGAGTTTCTCAAAAGAAAGACCCTACATCATCCTCAAGGTTGACCCCTAATCCCCCGACAGTCTCTGTACAGACCCCAAAGTTCCCCAACACCCCCCCAATTGTGAGAAGTCCCCCAAATGAGTTGCTGGCAATCCTGAGACCAGTGCAGGTGTAGAAGACTTTTGGTACCGGATGGTTACGTTGGTATTTCAATTTCCGAGAACAGGTCCCACGTACATAACCCACAGTGGAAGGACCATGATTCTGTGAACTCTAGCAACCTCCCCGAAGAGGACCCAACACTAATTCTATTCAGGACTGCTTCTGGCAGCTTGTCTGCGAAACAAGCGGTCTAGAGGCATCTGCGGCAAAGGAAGCAGATGCTGAGATATGCGAAACACTCCGAAGCTGCTAGGTTGCATTGCGAGGAAGTATCACCTGGGAATCGGTTACAACGTCCTGCCATCAAAGCTGCCGGAGGTCACTACGCCGACACCTTGGAAGTGCTGAACATAGCCCGCGACCAGGGCATCATCCTTGGCGTGATCTCGAATCACATAGGCTTCTGGTTTCATGAGGTCCCCGCTGTTGAAGCTGCCATCTTGCTGATACTAGGTGGCTCTGCATTCATTCTATTTATTTCTATTGGGGAGACTATGAACTCTCATGCAAATCTGCAGGAATGTGCGAAGCCTTGTGGCTTAAGCACCCTGGTAACTCCAGAGCTGCTTATTGTGAGCTCCGAGGCGCTCTGGATGCTGTAGCTTCGGCTCATGCCTTTCCATCGGAGTAGCGTGAGTTGAGCAGCCCGATTCTTTTGACTGCAGGTTGGCTGCTCAAAGCCTAGCAGCCGCATTTTCGAGATTTTTCTGCAACGCCTTCAAGCGCTTCATCCTGGCCACACCGCCCAGCTTGCTTGCTTGCCTTTGCGTAAGGACATGTTGCCCGCTCGCCGGCTTTGAGATGCTTGGGGGTGATTTGCGGAATGCCTCGCAACAACTTGCACAGATCTATTGACTTCACGCGTCAGGCATAGCAGCTGCTGATTGCATCTTTGTGGATGATAAGGCCCGATGAAGTGCACGGATGAGGGATGCCTGAAGACCTTAAGCCATATGAACTGGCCTAACACTTCCCCAGACCCGAAACCTTGAACCTCAGGCGGAGAATGTTGAAGCAGCAGAAGCCCTGGGCTTCCGTGGTCTTATCTTTAATGCCAAGACGGCTGCGCCTGGTACTTTGGCAGAGGAGAAGATGTGCTGTTGCTCAGTAAGGTGGTGGTATTGTCAAAGTCTGCAAGACGTTGTTAGCCAAGCTCTGCAGTTCCTGCCTGGGTGTGTTTGCCCATGTTTCTCTGCTTGTTGCGCTTATGCACTATTATGCAGCTTTGTACCGAACTGCCTGAGTTTTCGTTGGAAGATCTCCAATACTATTGCATTCTTCTGTTCTGCCCAGCTATCATGCCGTTGATGGTGGCCAGGCAGGCGGCACGTCCTGACTTCTAGCAGCTTGGCAGCTGTCAGAGCACGTGAACGTCGAAGTCATCCTTTGTCAGGAGCTGAAGAGAGCTGGGCTGCCCCTCGCCTAGGCAAGTGCGACCCAAAGAGCGGTCGCGCTTTTTGTGTGTTGAGACCGCTGAAGAAAGATTTGGCGGAGAAGGGCTGGCCGGCCACTTCGCATTCATGCGTCGGCTTCTGTGGGCTGGCTGGCTGGGTAGCAATGCTGGAATGTCTGTGCAACGTGATGACGAGGGAAAAGTGCGACAGCAGCTTGTTGCGCAGCACCTTGCTTCATGAGTTTGATGTTGATGGCAAGCACGTGCTTTGCTACTCTCCGAGTCCTACCTCTTCAACAGGCGAATGAGGTGTGTTGCTTTTACAGCCTGGAAAGCCAGGTGTTGGTGCCGGTACGTCTCCAAGCGGACAGGCTCGTTTTCGGAATGTTATAGTATGTTGCAGCCTGGGTATACCAGCAGGTTTGGCACCTGCTGTAAAGAAATTATCAGCTGTCAATCTTGCATCGCCTGCGTGAATGGCTCAAGACTTAGTCCGCAAAGCGAATACCCTGTCGCAAAGGCGGCTTCCGTGTGCGGAGCCTGCTGAGCTCTCATCTGTCAATCGTCCAGCCTCTCTTCAAACGGTCCTTGCAGAAAGATACAGCTACCAATCGCATCTCAGCAGGGCAGCTGACCTCTCTGATTGTTCATAGTGCCCGGATTTTGGCACCGTTATTCTTGTCCACATCCACGCGGGAATCACAGACACACTAAGCTTTTGCCACGTCAGCGCCTCATGATGCCCAAGAGCTGGTGAGCGTCGCGTCACAAATGGCATCTCGCGCAGCCGTCCTCATTGGTGTGACGCAGAAGCAGTCAGACGCCCTGAAAGTGTGTTCCTTGTCAGATATCTGGTGTCGAGGTTTTATGCAGCCTCCCAGGGTGCAGTACATGCGAAGAGCACGTTCTCCAACTTCCTTTTGGCCGGAGCCAAAGAAGTTGTCCTCGGGTCACAGTCTCAATCAACCGTGCTTTGTGGTATCAGGTGGACGGCTGGGGCTTTCTACGCGAGGTGCGACTGCATTGCGCATTCGGTTTCTGTATGATGAAGATGGTCCTGAAGAGAAGTGGGAGGCTCGAGCTTGCAGATCTTTCCTGGAAGTATGGACTTTTCCCCTTCACATCCAGAAGGTGAAGCCAGATGAGCCTGATGCTCCCTTTTCTGCAACACGTACGTTGGATGAGCAGGTGCAAGATGCGTCCAGTGTGGCTGGTGTCCTCCAACTTTGTGTTTTATAGCGTTTCTGCCGATATGCCCCGATGGCCTGTTCTGTGCCTGCCTTTGTTGAGCTGCCGAGTTTCTGTGCTGGGTGCCGGATCAACAATCCCAGAGTTTACTTGTTCGCACGTTTCTACTTTTCTGACGAGGGCATCGAATCGCCTGGCCTTGGCTCCATTGCACTGACCAAAGAAGGCGCACAAATGGCCATTTTGCTCACTTACTCTCTTGCTTGCGATTGGTCAGGAACCCTTCGCCTGCGCAGCCGCAGCGGTGCTGTCATTACAGAGTCACTGCCGCTGGGCAGGCTGAGTTGCTCAGCAGTTGGCGGTCGGCCGCAGGCCGCAGACGCATGCCAAAAGCCCCCAGTTCTCATGATAGCTGTGCATGAGCCAGGGTGGTGTTCCAATCGCGGAGATGCCCACCTTGAACGCAGGAGTTTTGTCTTCTTCCGGAGATTTCTTGAAGAACAGCGCTTCAGTTTCAGGAGCTTGCTGCCAGGCTTGCCAAGATTACTCCAATTGCACTGATTGGGCGTTTGATGGCGCTGCGTGCAGCTAGACTGTCAACAGTTGAGATGTTACAGTGTCGGGCATAGAATGGCACAGATGACACTGCAAATCCAAGGCTTTCTGGTGAAAGACGCCTCAGGCCGTCGGTTCACCTCGCCATCCTGTGCAGACCTGTGCAGATTTCTACGACTCAGGTTCTGAACAGCGAGTTCCACCGCAACACATGCAGTCTACTGTAAGTCTACTGTAAGTCTACTGTAGGATCAAAGCATACCGACCTCCGCGAAGCATTTGCTCACGAAGAGCTGATTGGAGCAAATCCTGCCTTGTTATTTCGAGTTGCACTTTGATATGACGGCGGAGACACAGAGCCGCCGGAGAGACAGTGGTGCAGCTAAGATCTTAAGATAATCAGCTTGAACCGCAAGTTTGAAGATGTTAATGTGCTTTGTCTGGTAGGCTGGGAAGCTGCAGCTGGGACCGTTTGGGGAAGGCGTGACGGCAACGATCTTACGGTTTGAGATGCCTGTTACAGCAGCTACATGCACATAATTGCATGATCATGCAGCAACCATGCAGCAATCATGCATGCAGAAGGTGTCCAGCACTCCTGAGCTTCACCTCAAAAGTCTCATCCGTTTTTGGGGGTGGAGCTGGGCCTGAAGATGCCACCGCACTCCAGCAACATGGAGCCACAGGGCAAGTCGCCTCCAGGCTGAAAGAGCTTCACAACAGCAATCCACCCCAGCTCTAGCCAAGTTGTGGGCTTCAACAAAAGATATGATGCTGCATCTCCCTACTGTAGCAGCTAAGGCAAACCGGGGGACGCACGTACCTTACTACTATTCCATGGACGGCTATGCAGCCTTGGGCAGCACCGGTGCTACTCACTTCAACCACTTGTTGGTCAGGTGCTCATGTTGCCATTCCTGACGTTGAAGCTGCGAGTTTTGCAATCACAGAAACCTGTTGTGCTCGCGCAGGTACCACACCACTGGGGATCACATCGCTTGGACGTGTTCTCATGGCTTCCAGATATATCTCATGCCAGCCTCCTCACTTCTTGACGGATTCCAGGCCAAGATCTAGTGTTGATGAGGGCCATGCATTGACAAGCTATCGCTGAAGCCCTGGAGAAAATGAGGAACTCGGTCCTATCTATCTTTGATAGGCCGACCGCCGGTGCCGCCAATGTCAGCTGGTTGCAACGGCGGTGGCGCAGAAGGGTAAACTTAGCTTTACCAGGCCATGATTCATCATTGGTTGGGGGTGTCGAGGGGCTTCAAAACCACAGCGTGTACACGATCATTTGCTGATTGCTTTGCTGCTGTAGACAAGTCTGCATATCCGCTGGCGCCTTCGCTTGCCACTACAATCAGGTGCTACTGCGTAATACTGCGTAGTCATCTTTTGTTGCACCTCAGCTGTTAATTCCCGGAGCTTCCCTTTGTGCCATTTTGAACGCTTCGTGAGCCAAGTGGAAGCTCGGCTCATAGCCGAGCGGGTCGGGAACAGCATGGGCAGGCATCTGGCAGGGCCTTGCAAACAAGGCGGGGAGATCCGACCAGAAGGTCAGACAATCAGGGGCATGGGATGGGTCCCTGGTTTGAGCCCAGAGCCCAAAGCAGTGGGCCTCCTGGAGCAAGGTTGCAAAAACGAGGAATACGGTTCAGGCGGATGTCCAGTCGATCCAACTCTAGGACAGGTGGCTGCGCTGAGACCGGGACCAGGAATATGCAGCAGCTCTAAGGGATTGGAGGTTGCGCGAAGGCTTTGGACCCTGGAGCTCCGCGCGCCATGCTTCGGCTTACTGTTCAAGCTACTCTCTGACTGCTCTCGTTCCACAATCTTCCACTCCTATGCCAAGGCATGCTTTTGGCTTTCTGGCTTCTCGATGGGGATGGGAAGATGCGCAATACATAGAGGATACTCTGCGATCTTTTCGAGCAGGAGGCTTTCCGCTTGCAGCTTGGCCGACGGCTTGTAGAAATCCCGCACTGGATGGCGTCGACAGTCAAATTGTACCTACACAACTTTAAGCTTTTTGGCTCATTGCATTCAAACAGTCATCTGTTGAACAACTCTTTTGCATTGTCCCTGCAACTCCAGGGTCTGAACTCAGGACTCCATCATTCTCGACTTCGAATGGTTTGTGAACACTTCCGATTACGAATTCGCACCTGAGGGGCAATCCTGGTACAATGATTTCGGATGGAACCCGGACCTCTTTCCTTCGCCTCATCGTCAAATCCAGAAGTACAGATCAGACAGCCTCTCAGAATTACCGAAGTGACAAACTGCACGTGACGCATGCCTCAGCTGTAGTTTTGCAGTGGAGTCTGCGTTGACTCTGTCTCCGAGGAGTTTGGCGTGCGCGTTGCAGGTATCCGCAAGCCTCGTCTTGGCAACAAGGAACTTGCCCTGCTGTCGATGATAACCTGCGTGAACCTGGTCATGACCCCTTTAGCACCTCCTCCCATGGCGTGAGCGCTGGTAACAAAACATATTACCCCCTTGCGCTGGCAATGTGCACAACACAGAGGAGCTGGAGAGTTCGTTGCAGGCATGGTAGGCTTGAAGCAAGATCCACTGCAGAGCTCTTGACTGGCAGAAAGTTCAACTGCCAGCAGTAGAGATTTTGCTCCAACACTCTAGTCATATCTCTTGATGGCATTGCGTGAACTCTGGCACTAGGAGCTTCTGCAAATGGTGCGGCAGAAGCAGTGGATCTTGCCAGCAGGCCAGATGCAGCTTTGCATACCCGATCACAAAGTTTAGTGACAAGCAGGACATATTTGCAGTTATAGGTCAAGCGAACGGGATTTGCAATCGGCAAAGTCATCGAGTGGAAAGATGTGGCTCGCAGTGTTGGGATTTCAGGTGGCCCGGAGAGCTACGCTCACGGACGCTGGCTGCTCTTCTCTGACCCGGATATGCGGAACTGGTACAAGCAACAGCTTCGGCTCCTAGTCTCGAACGAGGTTGCGTTTTACGAGTAGTATAGGCATAGATTGTGGTGACTGCAGAGGAACATAAGCGAGTGTGTGTCACAGTGTGTGTATATATATATGTATGTATAAGGTGTATATGTATATATTTAGGTACATAGTACATATTAAGCGTCCTTATGAAGACACAGTTGTCATGCTGTGCCAGCAGACTTCCGTAGGCATTACTTGGATGCAGGGATCGCGTACTGGTGGAATGACGAGACTTGGTTGGACAGAAGTATACTTGCAGCTTCTTGGAGCCACAGAAATACTGCATGAACTCTCGTGATCCGCTAAGGAGGGGGAGAACTCTTATTACACATACCATGAATGGAATACAGCTGAGAAGGATCTCCTCGAGGAAGCCAAGGCGTGAGCAGACATGAAGCTGTTGGAGTGGTGTTAAAGTTATGTTTGCCTTTGCTACAGTGCATGGAGAAAATGTCCTGCACTTCTTAGGATCCCCAAAACACTGTCAGTACTGGGGCATATGCTATGTCTGGTGCAAGATTTCTCTATCCACAGTATACCTCCCAATATTGTCGCTTTTGTTACTATAATATTACTATTACTATGGCGACGGCAACGACGACGACAACGACCATAACCATTACTAATACAACTGTTGTCGTTATCATGGTGGTCATGTGTTATCCTCATGGGTAGTATCTTCAATGCTTTTACTAGGAGTCGCTTCCCCTAATACTGGTCACCTTGCCCCCCCCTCTCCCCAGCTTCCCCCTCATCCCCTCCATAATGAACCTTCCGATCCTGGGGGATGAATTACAGGATCCGCATCTGGCTTCCATTATAACATTGAAATCTACTCGACTATAAAACCTAGGGAAAATCAATTAAAGCAAAATAGAATCAGTTGAATATCACATTAAGACCTAGTAAACCCGTTTAAGATCAGTTGAAATCCAAGTAAAATCTGATTCAAACCCAATCAAAACCTGATTCAGCAATCGTTTGAAATCTATCTAACTCTAACCAAGCTCTAACGTAACTAGTTACCTGATGAAATCAATCGAAACCTAATTCTGACTAAGCTCTAATCAGAATCCAATCAACATATCGAATTGGACTCTAAGTACAATCAACTGAAAACCAATCAGGTTGAATCTGTTTAACATTTAGTTAAAATTAGTTGAAGCCTGATGAATAATCATGTAAAGTCTACGTAGAATCCGTCCGAAATCGAATATCAAGTTCAAGCCTATTAACATGATTCAGCACCTTCTTCTAATCAAGCTCAATCAACATCGCATTTAGTTTTGTCGTTTTGACGCTGACCTCGCTACCACTTCATTGGCTTTCGCTTCCCGTGTGTTGTCTTGAGTCTTTGCACTGCGTATTTCTGGTTGAAGCGGACTTTACATCCCAAGCAGACTTCAAGCCCTGAGCGCATACGTGGTCTTAAGTGCGGAAACTGCTCACGCGTTTGCTTCCATTGCCAGCCTGGTCAGCGCTTCTTCTCCCTGAATCGCAGCCTGGCAAGTCAGCTGTGGTCTAAGACCTCAGGCTTTTCTTCAGTCTTGTCATCCTTGGTCCGAGGTGCCTTCACTCCGGGCCTTGCACGCCTAGGGGCTGGCGTTTGGACGGGAGACGTGCAGGCATCCTGGCAGGCCCAATGGAGAGCCAGACTGTCACGGGCAACAGTTTCTGTAGCACAGCGGGAGACATCTTCCTGCAGGAGGAATTTATTGATAGAGCAGAAAGTGCTGCTGAAGTTGTTGGCATACTGTCATTCTCCAACCCCAGGAATTGGCTATAAGTTTTGTTTAAAATGCAAGAAACTATGTCGGCCGTGAACTCGCATTTCAAAACTGTTTGCCATTGTGTGGCGAGTTTTCACTGCTCACTATTGCTCACTCTGGTGCATTAATTTCATGCTCAAGTGGCTATTTCTGGCAGCTCTCGGTTGTCACTTGGTCTTGGTGACTTTGGCCGGCCAGATGATCGGGAACACTATGCTTATTGTTTGCCACAGGATCTCGCTCGCACTCCTGGCCTGGTTCTGCAGCTTGTCTGAAGATCATGATTCTCTCGCGTTGTGGACGTGTCTGCTGATCGATGTCAGAGCTGTATAGAAGTGACCCCGCTGCAGTCGTATGAGCACAAGGTTGTACCAAGTAGTAGCGGCTGCTTTGGCATACGGATATCTAACGTGCTTTTTGTATGCTTTATGAAGCTTCAGGCTTTGAGTCAAGTTGGAAGTCTTGAGCTGCACGGTCATGTGCAAACCTGTGCCCTAATCCGAGGAACTGGGGTCTGGCTGGAGCACCGTACCCAAGCCGCAAGGGCTTTAGGGCAGAGCGGCATTCTCCTGATTTGTCATGGCCCGTTGTTGAGGGGGCATTTTGGAGGTCCTTGAGAAGCCTTGACGCTCTCATGCCGCAAGGTACGTGGCTTGTGATATTGGAGGTGAGGCAACAAGCTTGAAACGGTACAGGGTGCTTATCCCTTATCCGTCCTCGAATGCCGGACCTAAGTTCTAGTGCGTTTGTTGCACGGCTCAGCTGCCCTGAAGGCTTCATGGGAGAACCAACTCCTGAGCTGCTGGTGAGATGGTACCAGGCTAGGCTGGTTTCCGGTGCGTTTTCTGGCCAGATGCCCTTTGAAACCCCTTTGCCAGGTTGGAGTCTTCATGCCTACAATGCGCATCCACTCTGAGCTCTGGGTGAAGCCTCACTGGCCCTGGTTGTTTGGGGAGCCAGCCGCCAATGCCATGTGAAATCCTCAGTGCAAGAGGCACACTACATGTCATTCAGCACACGCAATACTGTGAGCGCACAATATTTCATTTGCACTGGACATCGTCAAGATAGCTTGTCAGTCGCTCTACACTCAGGCGCGATGCCCTCCAGCTTCGTTACCGAAGCCTCGCTACAAGTGCGTGAGTTTTCTAAGCCTTGATGGGCACGATCAGCATGACCCAGTAGTAGCTGGACTGTCGAACCGCTTGGACACATGTAGTGGATTCAAATCTGAGGACTACTACCATACCATTACTCACTGGCCCACAGAGCCTTGGCTAAGGTTTGGGCTTTAGCGTTAGGTTGGGGAGGTTCAAGCGATGTGGCTGGAGGTCTGTACTCCAGCGGCCTGCTTTGGATGAGGCCGCTGGCCGCAGTCTTCCCCGAGGATCCCAAGGCACAGAGCAAGCCGAGCAAGCACATCACTCTTTTCCTCATTATCCACATCGTCCCAACGCAAGCTCCGGAAGCAAACTTGCCCAAGTTGTCAGGTAGCCAACCTCACGTCAGAGTGGATGGACGGAGAGATTTTGCTGTACGCAGCTCAGATTAGCTTTGGGCGCCAAGTTCCTGTAAGCTCACCCTTGGCTCCTAGGTCGCCTGTTTTGAACGAGGCCGCCCAAGTTGAGATCTACCTTCCGGAAGGTTACTGGCACCCCTTTAATCAACCGGGCGAGATTCTCAGCGGGCCACATCATGCTGCCAAGCAGGCAGGGTGAGCTCACATAAACTGCTGGTGTCAGAGCTGTGTCCTGCAGGTGCCCCTCAACCAAGTTCCGGCATTTGTGCGACTTGGAGCCGTCTCTTCGCTTAAGATCATAATGGCATGGGAATCTCGATGAATGGTGCGTTGATTGTTTGTCGCTAGGTGATTCCTTTGGCACCGGCTGTGCAATCAACTGATGATCTGCCTGGGGGTCCCTTAGAAGTCCAGGCTCTGGTGAGAATAGATTTTCGAGGTTGCAGGGCGCAGGATGGCGCACGAAGCTTGCCTTGCTGTGCAGGTATATGCCGGTGCAGATGGTAACTTCACGCTGATACAGGACGACAAGCACGCAATGAGCCGGATCAGTACCTTCCTTTCTTCCGTCCAACTGGATTTAACTTGTGTTTGGACTGAAGCTGAGGGTAGCTAGTCAGGTTGCGACACGGATGTGCCTTCGCTTTCTCGTCTCAATTTTCTAGCACGCCCTTGTCTAGGATTAAGGGAGTTTTTGCATCAGGGCTCTGAGACGTTGTTGCCTTTAGCACATAGTCACTGGGCCAGTAGCTGTCCCTGTGACTGCTTCAAGTACTGCACAGGTGCCGCAGAGCACATGCAAGAGCCAGCTATGTGATACAGACGTCTTCTTTTTATTGCATTTGTACTTCCTCTTCAGGCGTAAGTGCCTTGAGGTGGTCGGGGCCCAGACGTTGTTCTAGCATCCCGCTGCTGCAGGATGATGGAGAAACGACATCATACAAGTCAGGATCAATGCGCAAGACAACATTTGCCCTTCAGCTGCAGCACTACATTGGTGCCTTTCTTGGCTGGACCACTTTCCTTAGAGACGCATGTGGCGCCTCGCTTCAAGATTTGCCAACTAGGTTTGGATCGACATTGCGAAGCGCTTGGCATGGAGTACCACAGGCGACAAGCAAATCAAGGTGCTGGTGGCAAGATTGCGTGATTTTACATCGGTCCTGACATCGAAGCCATGGGGCTGTGCGCTTCAGAATTGGCTTGCCTGTTCAAGCTTTCTGTGCACGTAGTTGTTGCGAGAGCCAGACAGAGCCAGGCCCATCACTTCACTGCAGTTCGCTGCACCTTGTTTGCTGGCGGCTCCGTGCAGCAGAGTGACGTGTTTGCGCTTGGCGTGCTCCCCAGAGTTTCTTTCATCCAGCAAGATTGCGCTAGTAAGCCATAAGATGCCGTGAGAGTCGAGAATTAAAGCTCAATCTGTCTTGGCAATTCACCTTGCAAGGAGACACGGGCGAGCTTCAGATGCCTTCACAGCGGCATCTAAGGGCCTCAAAGCTTCTTCGCGTTGTGCATCAAAAGGCCGGGCTAAGCCGACAACCCGAAATGAGTGATCGTGAGTGATTGATGCGTGGTTATGGAACCGGTGCCATAGGGTTAACAGACATGGAGCAAAGCAGGGGCTGTGTACTCATTCAGGACCGTGCAGAAAGACTCGTGAGCGCTCTGGGCATCGATGGCTGAGCGTCGCAAACTGAGGGTCCAAAAGACAAGTTCTGTTTGCATGCATCATCGGGGTAGACGTGCGCTGTACAACAGCAGCAGGCCTGTTGCGTAATGCCGATGATACCCTTCCAGTACATGTTATTCTTGAACCTAATGCGCATGTACGTGTCTCAGCAAAAACGGTTAATTGTCAGTTTGGAGGCCCCCATCAGTCAGAAGCCTGCAGATTGTGCAGATGTGCCGCTGCTGACTGCTTTTGGGATGGTGCAAGTTGGATACATACATGTTGGCTAGGATCTCAAGTTTGCCCACGGAAATGCTCAGATTAGGACATCATTGCCTCTGGTGTGGTCAATCTAATTGCGGCTTGAGCAAGCGGCGCCCGAGCGGCCAGCGGTATGACCCAGAAACACTAAATTACGGTAGGGATCGAGACTCCGGCAGGCGATGATGTCTGGCGATTGGATTTGTCCCAATTGCAATGACCTGGTGTTTGCAAGGACGCCTTTAGCCCAACTTTCGAAGCCGCGGCACTTGTTTCTGAGCACGGGTTTGAGTCACCAGGGGTAGACCACAAACTGCGTGCCTTCATCTGATTTCGTCTGACTCAACTAGGGTGCATCAGCAGAAAGTCTCTGATCTTGCATATCTTGTGCAGCTGCATGAGCTGGACTTAACCACCTGCAGGAACAGCCAATGTCGGCGATGCAACACGGCCAAGCCAGAGCAGCAACGTCCTTAAAACCTGATGGTCTTGGCAAGCAGCTGTGGGTGGCTGGCCAGCATTGGCAACATGTCTAAATCAGAAGCCGGATGCGGGGCCTTGAGCAACACTTGCGAATGATTGACAAACCCCAGCAACATCGTGCAGGGTTGCAAGAAGTGCTGACAGGCCTTTCGTGCCACCAGGTGGGTGGGATGTTTTCTTGACCTCATGCCCACGAAATGTGATGCGATGCTTGTGAAAGTCATTCCGGGTACGTTCACCAGCCCTCCTTTTCAGCAGCGATGAATTCTGCAATCTTGACATGCCGCAGGCTATCCAGGCGCGTGGGAGATACTCTGTATATACAGAGAGTCTGCTGCAACGAAATGCTATGATAGAAGTCTTGGACACAAAAGCTGATGGCTCGCAACAGAATGGATCAGGCTTTCCCGGATATCCAGGGTATCCTGGTGCGACCCTGAGCAAAACGAGTTACTGAATAGGTCAAAGCTGAAGCCCCGTGCCTCCTTGCCAAATGCTCTAGTTTGCTCCAGTCTACAATTTCTGTCAGCTACATGTCAGCGCATATTCGAGCAAGCCCTAAGGGCAAGCTTTTTCAATCTTTTCTTCCCAAGAAGCCCTAAGGTCTTCAATACTTTCTGTGCCTTATGTGATGTAAGGCTCACAGGTTCAGGCTCGAATTTGCAACTTGCTCTTTGATCCGTCGTTGATAACCTAGCAGCCATTTTGCCTTTGCGTGTGGAGAAGTGTTGCTACCTTGGAGTAAATAATCATCGGTCCCTTGCCGTGCCAGTTTCGAATCTGCCCTCAACTGCGAGGCTACCCGGGTTATTTCCCATGGTGGGGTCCGGAGACTCAGAGTCCGTTCGAGCTGCTGCCACGACTGTACTTGCAGGCATGTCACATATCACATCAAGCTTGCTGCAAGCCTGAAGAAGTCCTTCTCGATTCCGCTGAGGCTACCCGCCACTACTGAGAAGGGTCCGCCATCACAACTTCTATCATCCTTGCCTGCATAGCAAACAAAGACCACCTTGCGCCTGCAGGGAAGCAGCAGCAGCAGCAGCGACTCGTCCGTGGGGGCCTTGGTCCCAGAAATCCAGTGCAACCTGCATGGCGCTGCTTCGAGGACTCCTCATCTGATTCAAGTGAAGAGGCGGGCAGTGGTGTGCGTCATGCAAGTCGGCAGCATTTGACTATTCGGTTCCGTCTTCGTGACATATATGTACATGCAGTCTTATGATGTGTTTTAATGCGTAGATCTTATTCTTATGCTTGCGGAGATGGTTAACCAGTCGACCCACTCAGCAAAAGCAAAAAAGTGCAAGACTTTGTTTGACTACCAAGCTGCAGGACGCGCGCAAGGCCGCAGCTTCCAAAGCGAGGTTAAAAGCCCGCGAGAAGGCAACCGGCAAGACTGCGCCTGCTTCTGCGTGAAATTTGAAGCTACTGCGGGGCCTTCTTTAGGGGCTTACGATGGCTTAAGGATCCCATTCCCAACGAACAGCCGGCATGTCCAGGGCAGCACGAAGATTCATGCTAAGTTGCCTTCTCATCAGGCCGGACTGTTGCACATCTCCTGGACCGGCGTAGTTCCACGGGTCCCAGCGACACTTTCCAACTTCTTGGTTGCCCTGAGTGAAAGGCTAGTTGAACCTTTGCATCTTGGGGTCACATGCCGAGCGTTAACAGCAGTGGCTCTTCTCGGAGTTTGCTGCATTTACAGGGGCCTCATGAAAGTCATCGCTGTAAGACCTTATGAGCGTGAAGTCCCTAGGCTGGCGATCATGTATGTATATATATATGTATATACTCAGTATATATATATATAAAGTCTGCAGATTTGATTTGCCAGCTGAGTGGCATCTGCAGGTAGAAGAGGAGCGAGCAAGAGCCAAGGAGCCGATGATTCGGATTTCCGAATGATTCCCCAGCAGCAAGACGTGCAACTTAAGGGGCAGGTGGTAAAAGCTTGCAGCAAAGATTACCATGATCGCTCGGAAAAAAAAAGCACGGTATCTTCGGCCTTCCAGAGTTTGGGTACTGGGTGGTACAATTCGCTTGCTGTGGTTCCCAGCTTGCCGTAAGTTGAGGACTTCAAGTAATCCCTCAATCATGCCGGAGTAATGGCAGCTTTCTGCAGGAACTGAGCAGAACAGCAAAGGAAAAGAAGAGGAAGAAGACACAGGAAAAGCACAATGACATGTTGTTGTGTTGGAAGTCACTGAGCCTGACTGTTGGCCCTAGTTTTGCAGGACTCATCTGAAGGCAGCGTGAATGAGCAAGATGAAAGCGAGGAAAGGAGCAAAGTAAAGAAAAGAGCAAAGGAGACTCTGCGGCAAATTGTGAGGAGAAGTTCTTTCCTGCACCTATTATCAATGGCAAGGATAGCGATGACGACGATGAGGACGACGACAGTGCGAAACCAGCAGAAAAGCCAAAAAAGATCCAGAAGAAGAGCAAGGAGAAGGCCTGTTGTTCAAGCATTGTTTGAAAGCTTGATTGGCAAATCACAGCACCTGGGCACCTGCTGCAGCTGAGGCGTCTTCGAAAAAAAACGGCAAGGATAAGCAGGATGATAAGAAATCAAAGCTGCCAGACTGCATGCTTACACTTCATGTTTGTGGGTGGACTTATCAAGTGGGATGCAAGGAGGTGGCAGAACAGTAGCCCAAGACTGACGGCAAGATTCGTTGGCGTCCGAAAGGTAACATTCCCCCATCATGGGGTTTATGAGACAAGGACCCATATCAAGATACAGCTTGTCTGATTGTTCCCCGCCAACAAGGAAAGAAAAGAAAAAACGGAAGGAGGCAAGCGACAGCGATGAGGACTTGAGAGCATCATGCAGAGCCAAATGGGGTACTCTTTGATACCTATGGATGTACACATATACACCACGTGACACCCAAATACATATTAATACGACTGCGGGATGGTTCGGGTATTCGGTTACACAGGGATAATGTTGAGAACCTCTCAAATGGGCTTTTCCAGGACGAGTCGGCGGCCCCTGAGAACGAAGCGGCGGAAAATGGCCGTGCCGGAAGCAAGATGCCCGTTTGCAGTTCGAAAGTACAAGCTTCAGGCTCTCCACTATTCCGGTGATACTTCAAAGGAAACATTCTGCAGGTTGGATTCAACGGGTGAAGCATGGGTAATCTGTCGTGCAGATGCCGAGGAAGACCGCGACCAAAGAAAAGAAAGGAAAGGCGAAGGAGGACACCGTTGCAGAATGCGTGCGCCCATGTCAAGACGGAGTCTCATGTCACTGAAGCAGAGGTCCTTTGACAAAGGTGTCGCGCAGTTAGGTTGCAGACCTTTCAGCAGACCGTCAAGACGCCTGAGTGACGCCTGCTTTCGACCTTTCGTGTCACCTTTGGTGATGCAGTGCGGCTCTGGCGGTTTTGATCCCTAGACGGTGCTTTGTTGGAAAGCTGCACTTTGCGTTGGCCAGACGTGAGCGACGTGAGGTTGTTGCCTGAGATGTGTTGTGACGCGTGCAGGAGAAGAAGGCTAAAGGCAAGTCAAAAACAAAAGACAAAACGAGCCTCGCCTCCTGCACTTGAGAGTGGAAGCAGCGCCGTGATCTGAAATGATCTTGTCCCTATTGTCGCTTCACTTGAGGAACGATAAAAAAGATGACAAGGACCCGCTCGAAAAAGGGTGCTATGTAAAGATACACGGAGCAGCTGCTGTGAGATATTGCTTGGTTCAACCTGTCCAGCTTTAAAAACAGGCAGCCCGGGACCCTGCCTGCTGTTTGCCTGGCTGGGCTTTCAAAGATGTGCACCCGCTTGGATTCGGGTTGACCCAGAGTAGCTTTTGCAGGAGAAGACCAAGAAGAATGGCAAGGTTCGCTTTTGGAGCTTGTCGCATCACTCGCTGGCTGACTTGCCGTTGTCAACGGAGGCCAAGAAGCAGAAAGAAAGTGAAGCATGCGAAGCATGATCCAGACTTAGCCTGGGAGGAAGGGAGCGGCCTTGCTCATCCAGCGCTGCTTTCAAGCGTAGCATAGCGTAGCCATGGTTGGGGGTGGCTGATGTTGGCTGTGCTGCGCCAAGAGGGGGTCCGTTGCTGGCTGTGGCCCATGCTGGTGAATGCTGAGGCAGCGAAGAAAAATCGAGTGAAGGCGGTCGGGAGAAAAAAAAGAAGAGGCCAGCGAGAACATGTGTTTGTTGAGACTGTGCGGATTTCAATTGATAACGTTGACATGGAGAGCATCTAAGCTAACAAGCAGACTGTGTGCCAGGAAACAAGAGAGCTCCGATGATTCTTGAGAGATTCCTCGCGGCCAAAAAAGAGCTCGACGCCACTTGAAACGTTGATTTGTTCCCTCACGTGGACTTGGCAAAGCTATCATGCTGCAGCTGGGCGGCTTCCAGGATGCTGCACCTTGAAAAATGATGACAGACTGCAATTGAAGGACTATTCGAAGTTTGTCCAGTGTTACTCCCTGCTGTCCTTATAACTCTTTGGACTTAAAGCCACTGGAGAGGGTTTGGTCAACTTCAGCATTCAGATTCCGCTAGGTTCTCGTCATCCACTGCGTTAATGCTGCTTTGACATGGTCCTATGGACCCTTTTGGGCCCATGTCAAACCGTAAGCAATGGCTTGGGCTTTGCCCAGAACTCGGTGCCACAAATTTCATCAGTTGCTTGCATCCGATGCAAACCCAGAGCTGGGGCGTTGGCAGTGCTTTGCAGCGCCAGCGGTGGCAGCACAAGTCACACAATCCTGATTGCACGGATCCCCGGAAAGGGAGACAACTCCATATCACTGAAGACTTTGAGACTAAGGCTCCTGCTTGGGGTGGCCGTCTCCAATGGCCAGGACTGCTCCGCAGACCACATTGGCTTAAGGTGCTAAAAGGTGCTAAATGATGGGTCTGAAGACTTGGGATATCAGGGTTATGATATAGCAACTACTCGAACCAGTAAGTTGAGGTTCGAGGGTCTTATATGCGTTCCGGCAGCTGGACACTGTACTTATGGCAGTACGCACTGTGCTTTCAGGTTTGTCTGCTGATTGGCTATTATGGTTAACAGGCATCGACTATTACCACTTATTTCCTATACATATTGCATAATCCTTGCTACTGTCGCCATTGCCTGGGCAGCTCTTTATCAAGTCTGCTAATGCAATCTTCCCAACAGGACATTTCGCCAGGCCCCCTGCAGGGTTGCTGGACTCCGGGAGTACGAGTGGCACGAACATGCGTAGTATGGGTGCTCGCTAGTCTGTGACTTGTTGGAGCTGGTTTCAGCAGCGTGTTCACCGCTGAAAGAGTTTTCAACTGAGGATGCCCCACTTCAAGTGGGGACAGTCCAAGGAGAAGATTTTCCTCACCGTTGCCGTCTCCTGGAAGCAGGAAGCATGCTCTTGGTGGTGGTTAGTGCGGTCTAGGGGTGTGGATTACGCAGACAAAAATCGTGGATTCTACAGGGAGTACTAGAGGGGTCCATTCCGTCATTCCCTACAACGCACCAGGCAGTGGTGAGGTGATTTCATCATGCAGCAGTGCAGGTGATAGTTATTGCCCGCATATGAGGTGCGCAACCTCAATCGCAGTTCCGTCAGCCGAAGACCTGGAACTGTGTGATGAGTCCACGTCATGTTATCGTCATAAATAAGTTTAAGAATTTAATTTGCACGAGTAGCTAGGTGGGGTTTATATAGGGCGAATAGAACATCAGTCCAGGCACACCTACCAATGCGCTCCTAGTCCTAGTTTGCTTCGCTAGCTAGGCTGGGCAATGCTTGGCTTCCCAAACCTCATCTGGACTTGAATGCTATCAGCACACGCTGCGAAAGCTGATGAGGCATCAACTTCGCAACCGATCGCCTGGGCTTACGCTGCACAGACCTAGACGGGAAGGCGGGTAGCTTCTTTGCATGCGGCACCCGCGAGCAAGTACACCTACTGATTCAAAGGCCAAAGTCCAAGCGTAAACCTCAAGCGCGAGTCCCCTTAGGCCTTGCTTTGATGATCACCAGTGCCATGGCAGCCTGCAGCAGTAACCGGAGCAGTTGCACCTGCAGTCAGCTCCACAAACTTCTCCCGCTCCGTTGCCAGTGCAACTGCTGCGCTGCTGAGACCTTCACTCTATAAACACAATTACGTCTTTCGCAGGTGGTGATACCAAGAATAGACCATAACAGGCTTTAAAGCTCCAAAGTTCTTGCATTCTAGCACCAGCGCACCAGCAGGCCTATGAATTGGACTTGGAGCTGGACCAGGCAGATTCCTGCCAGCCATAATCATCACAGCCACCAAGATGCCAGGATGTCGCCCCAGACCTATGTAGGTGGGAACAGTCGCAGCCTCGTCTGATTGCTGGACTGATCTTCCAGTGTTACTGTAACACTGCGTGATAGTGTTCTGTTCTGTGCCGAGGCTATCAAAGAAAGAGCGCTGGGGCGAGTCTGTCTGACCCCGACATTTGTTTTATGTGCGTAGTCTGGTATCAGCATGTGTGACCAGATTTTGTGGCACGTCAGCTAGGTAATCGTGGGCGCCTACCGGCAGATTGTTCTTTTGCTTTAAGACTGTTGAGAAGTAAGGGCTGTAGACATGAGCGTGTGATGGTTTTTTGCTGATTCCAGGTTTTAATCACCTTGGCGAAGATTTTTCCAGCAGCCATGCACTCAATCTTCTCAGAACCTGTGCCACAGTGTGTCATCCCACTTCTCGCGGGATTGTGTTCGCATACACACACACACACTCTCTCTCTCTCTCTCTCTCTCGCTTGACTCTCTCGCGTTTTGACACAGAAGAAGCATTAGGATTAAGCTGTGCCCTGCTAGCGGTGATTCCCATGGCTACCCGTTGTAGTGTACAGCGCATTGAATCGACTGCTTTGCTATGCTGCAAAGGCCTGGGCCAGCCTCGTGCACAATCCCAAGAAGTACCGCCAGGTTCCAGCTTTGAAGCAGCATCCTGGTAGTGCACTCTGGCAAGGTCAAAGAGAGGGTTGCAACTCCGCGCCCTTCAGGTCATGGACCGTGACTGGTCCAGGGATGATGACAAGCTTGACATTTCAGAGGTGGGCAGTTCTTTAACGAACTCAATAGCAACTTCCATGCAAGGGGTTGGGTCGTGGTACGAAGTAAGTTTGACTGTACCGTTGAAGAGGACCTCGGTGATGAACCTGTAGCCATCACAGATCTGCATGACAAAAAGACAGGACTGGCTCAAATCCGGACGCTCGTTTCCGCAGTGTGACCGACAGTCTGGCGCACGTACTTGCTTGTCAACTCTCCTGGACACTTGGTCGTAGGGGGACGTTGAAAGTTGGTGGGAAGTGTTTCCATGCATTTTCCTTAGTTGCATTTCTAATTCCGAGCCCGAGGGTATAGAATTTCATTGGTCAATGAAGTTGTAGCGCCTGTGGTCACGGCACATGATTTTTCAAGCATATGTGTTGGGCATCACGTCGTGGATCTAGCATACCCAGAACCGTCAGCAAAGATTTTTTAAGCGCAGACCATGCAATCCATGTCTTGGGCACTCAGACTGCCGCAAAGGGCAAATGGCGAAGTTTGTGTTTCTTGAAATTTGCTACTGTAGGCCTGTTCATCAGACTGTAAGGGGTTGTGCCTTCCAGATTTTTACCTTTTGCATTCATCGGTTTCAGATCTGTCCCTGAGAATTTTGCAATGTGGCTAGAATCTGGAGTCCCAATGTCTCCAAACCTATCAACAAGCTCTAGCGCGTCCGCAAAGACTCTGATGCCCAGCAGGACACATTTTTCGAGGAGCATGCGGAGTGACCTCAGCCAGCTCTGATTTGCTGAGCGCTAAAGTGTGGGATCACACAACCGTGAGCTACCGATTACTTTCCACGATGTTTTGAGCTTCTCTCGATTGTGCTGGTTCAAGCTCTGCCCTTGCGCCGCATAGCTCCCTGCTGTGGACTCCAACTGCGATCGCTGACATGCAAATATTTGTCAGAGCCTTGTGAAGGGTGGACAGCTGCGGCATGTGAACGTGGACTCGTTTACTTTTTTATGCAGTGTAGGAAGCTGTGGTGGAATTCAGGCGTCGGCATAGGATGGTGTAGCATGTATTGTCAATCTTGGAAATCTTTGCGACGCGGGCTTGGATTAAGAGGTATCTCGTCAGGCCTCTAAACGCTTCGAACTATGCCGGCTGTGCCCCGCAGCAGCCTCGCTGAACTTGCCAAGTTGTTCCTGCGCCCAGGTTAAGACCTTGACGGGCAAGACCATAACTCTGGATGTGGAGGCTTTGTTTGGGCAGCTGTATCCTGGAGGAAGGAAACGTGAACGCATCCCTTCACTCGGAGGCAAGCGATACAATTGACAATGTGAAGGCCGTATCGCTGCCTCTGTTGCTGTTAAGGAACCTAGTTTAAACGCCATAATAGATACCAGGGGTGCCTCGCAATGGTGACTTAGTGATTCAAGTTCCTCAACAGCAAGTCAGCCAGTTTTGTAAGTTGTGCAGAGGAACATGACTGTCGTCTCAGGCAAAGATCCAGGACAAGGAAGGCCAAACCGTTCTTGTGTGTTTTCTGGACTTGTTACCAGGCAGAAAAGTGTTGTCGTAACAGTCATAAGATCATCTTTATCCTTTCGACTTGTCTGACTCCAGCTACCTGTAGCTACTGCTACCTACTTCACAGCAATTGGTCACTGGCGTTTTTACATTTAAGCACTGCTGCCTTGAGATGATTGTTCAGGCATCCCGCCTGATCAGCAGCGCCTGATCTTCGCCGGCAAGCAGCTCGAGGATGGGCGAACCCTGTCCGCGCGCCAAGATGGAAGCGAGCATAAACTTTTGATCGGTAAACTCCCCAAATCTGCTGTTGCTTGTGTGCACTGCACTAAAGGTCTGACTACAACATCCAGAAGGAATCGACCCTGCACCTAGTGCTGCGGCTTCGTGGCGGAGTCCTGGAAGCAATGTAGAGCCAGGGACATACCGACATACCTCCCCTTCTCCCTTCCCTCTGGTGCCTCGCTCCTGGAACGTTGCCAACACCACCGTGTGATGAAAGGCCCTCAGGCCGAAATCAACGCCATCCAAGGCAGTTCCAAGGCTTTTGGCTAATCGAAGTTTACCCCCCCTTTGTGCGTCACCTGCTGAGGATGCTGCTGGTTCTTCTCGTTCCTGATCATCCTCACGTGCCTTGAGTGTTCAAGGTATCAGGTTGTGTTATTCAGTACAAGTACATTCCTGATCTCTAACCCATGCAGGCAAAGGTTTAGCATTGGCAAGCTTGAGCCAAGCTGCGCCTAAAATGCCTAAAACTGGGTTGCGGATGAGCAACTCAAATTGAGTTGACATTCTGGGGAAAGCATGTCATTTACTATCATGTCCTGGTAGCTGAATTGACATTCCTCAACAGTAACCCAGCCCAGGATCATTACCATGATCTTCGTGATGCCATGCACCTGCGGGACCTCCGTGCTCCGTCTTGTTTATCCTCAATAGGTTGCCATGTTAAACATGTACATTTCTATATGAGGGTGATTCAAGACCAGCGTCCACGAGTCCAAAAAAGGATGGCAGTCGGGTTTCACATCAGAACTCCCTGTACATGGAAAGTGACATGCAAATGTGTATGTCCCGTCAGCCGCACTGGAAGGCATGCGTCATTCCATTTCTGATTCCGCCTCTCTTAGCCTGGAGCTCAGAACTTGCATGCTTGCTTATGTGTTGACAGCCGGCTGATAGAAGACCCGTTCAGGTTGGGTGCTGTTCAATGCTCAGGTCTTGCCCTGCTTCTGCTTATAGCATTGGCGCCACTGAGCCATTAATCTCACGCATGCAAAGCCGGGCAAAACCATGCCTCCCTTAATCGAGATGCATGATGACCCTTGCAGATATATTGAGGGTGCTTGATAGCTCCACCCGTGCGCGATGCCAGAGAGAGGCTCTGCCACCAGGGCAAGATCTTTCCCAATGGGACGCGCTTCTATTCCAGTAGTCCTTTGAGATGTCATAGCATGCTACTACAGCCTGACACTTGATTTTCCACACAGGTCAGGCTGCAGGACTTGCTGTGTTTTGTATAGAGTTGGGGACCAGAATGCCAGGCAGCTTGCAGTCAGAAGGTGATCTATCAAGCTGTGGTGCGCTGCTTGCTTTGGAGCACCCCGCCCACCACCGGGTTTGCCATTTCCAGCAGCCCAGCCAGCTGTTGAAGTCTGCATTGCTTATTTGCATTGCTGGCTGAACAGAATTAGATCAGCTTGAAATAGCCTACCTGCAAACTTTGATGGCCGTTGTGATGGCTGTTAGCTTTTGACGCCTTTCTGGAGTTAGAAGCACAACAACTTGAGATTAGCACAACCTGCAGAATGTCATTCAAGTTCCAGGGCTTCGGATGAAGATTCCCCAGGGAGGAATGGCCTGGCCATGTAGTATAAACCAAACTGCGTACTGCAGCTTGTTCATGTCTGGCCGTTGGAAGAACCCTTGATATAAGCAGACAAGATTTAAACCGTGGACTGCAACAATCAGGCCGCACTCTTGAAGGGCAGCTTGTGTTCTCCAGGTCAACGTAGATCAACGTAGAAGTATTTGCAGTGCCGTGCCCAGCATGCACATTGGGCTCGCAACACCCATCTGTACGGGCATGCTTTTGAAACCTAGTGCAGGCAAACACTGCCAGGTATCTCCCGCAACTGATGACTGAAGCGGACTTGCAACAATCGATATCGTTGCCAGGCAGGATCAATAGAGTTTCAGACTTGGTGTTGTTTGTGTGGGGGATGGTTGAGGTTTGCTGCCCTCAGTGTTGCCCATGCAACAAGCAGTCATGCAGTTCGTCGGCACAGGTAAGAAGAAGCCAATCCACGTCCAGATGCAGTAAGGAACGCGCGGCACAGTCATAACATCTCTGGCAGGTGTAGAAGCCGTGGCTGTTCTCGCCCGGCACCATGCATGCATGCAGTGTGGGGTGTCTCTTGCCTGTCTCTGGCAATTCAAATTGATTGCAGACTCTGCGAGAGCAGCATCTGCCAGCTGATGGCAGGTCGCGGACACCACTTTCGCAGTTTCTGCAAAGAAGGCCGCCATTTCAACAAGCGAGATTCCTCAAGCCTCTGAAATTGAACACGTGCCTTGTCAGGTCGCAGCTTCTACAAAAGAGGCTCCAAGGGAAAAGCATTTGTTGCAGTGGCTCATCTACAAGGATGTGCAGGGTATTGCAGGGTACACACATGAGAAGTGTTGCAAGTTCAGATTCAACTGGCTTGTGTTCTCTCGAGGTATGCTCGTCTGACTGCACTAGGGAGGACATAGCATCGACAAACTTGGATCGTCGGCCGCGACTGACTGCTTGAACGCATCAGTAAAGTTCAGGTCTGCCCAACTCAGACATACATCGCCGCAGTATTTGATGTTTTGTTGTGCCCAGACTGCACCCGGTATTCTTTTGAAGCTTAATATATCTCCGATGTTCATATCGCGACACCTGTCTCAGGGAGCAACTCTTCAGTTCATTTGGGGCTGTACAATGTATCGCTGGAAGGTCCGTGGACGCCTTCGGCTCTATGCTTTGGACTTGCGAAGCCGCTCAGCACGGCCTCTTGCTCGGCGACTTGGCACGGCTCACAGTGGCAAAGCAGGTGGCAAAGCAGGTGGCAAAGGTATGCAAAGGATTCCTACGAAGGCCGCTGAGGCTCCTGCTCGCCTTGCCGCTGAGGCCTGAGATGTCCTGAAACCCCTCGGGACTGTCGGTACTTGGCCTTCTCTCACCACGGAGGTGCGAAGCTTGTCTCACAACCATGCTGCCGCCTGACCATCCTGGCATATCCTGGCCCCAGCAGCTTTGAAAGGCCTTGACCCTCTGCTGCTTCGTGGCCGACATGACGAAGTGGTCGTCCCAAGAATAGCTGGATCTCAAGCAAACTCACAAAGCTGGTAGAGCTCAGGCGACGCTCCTGAAGACTCTTGAGACTCTCTCCCGCCGGCAGCCAGGCCCAGAGAGCCAACAGCGAACAGGCTTTTGATCATCTTTTGAAGTCATGCGCAGATCGCCTTAAGCAGTTCTAAGGTTCTCTGAGATTTCATTTGAAGAAGCTCGTCGAAAAGCAACAGCCGCTTCGCCTCAACTGTCGTCGTGACTTTGCAAAACTGACTGCAAAAAGGAGGAAAGATGCACCAAATGAGGCTCTGAATCGGAGCCTTGTCGTGCTTTCTCCGGATGCCACCACCCTGGAAAGGTGCCTTGGAGGCACTCAGATGTTTCACAGCCTGGCTACCGTACTCCGGGCCTTGTCAGGCAGGCTGTGCATCAACAGCGCCTCAAGCCGCAACCCAAGATCTGCGATGAGGCCGTTTGACATGTTATTTAGATTAATCTGAATGTATAGCAGACCCGAAAGATCCAAAGGACCACCGGAGCAGAAACCACAGCGGGTGCCGGATGAACTATCATGTGAACTCACAGGTGCCCAGATCCTCTTAGCTACAGCGGCACAGCCACAGCATGCAAATGTAGAAGCCGCTACGGCTGAGCCAAGTTTTTCGGATGAATAGCTATGTCTTTCGTGTGGGCCAGAAGCAGCTGTACAGTCTACTGTGTCCTGCGGCTTTCGTCGGCTGAGATGCGTTTCCCCAGGCTTGATGTCACCATTGCACAGGTGTGGGTCAGTTGCCAAATTGCCAAGCAGGGGTGTTTCTGCTCCGTGTGGCTGTGTGTTGCAGGCTGCCTCTGCCAGTGCTTTTGGCTTCCGCGGGCATGCCTTAGCTTTTCTTCCGGGTGAGGCTGTGATTGGCCGCCACACGTTGGTGTCGAGGGGATTTCCTTTCTTCAATTGCAGGAGGAAGTTCGCCACTTCCTGGGCTCTGAGGACTTTGACAGGCCACGCTCTGAGCCACGAGCAAGCACGAGCCAGCTTGCCTGCAGCGCAACTGAAGATCTCCAACGACTTTGACCCACTGAACTTGAGCTCATACCGACTCACACTCCTTACGCCACTCAAGTTGCGCATGCCAAGGTGGCTTCTAAAAGTGTCTGTCCCTTGCCTGGCCCAGCACTTGGCGGTCACAACACATCAGACATGGGCACTGTTGAGCTCTTATACCCTTGCAAGAACCGGTATGGGAGCATGCTCACTCTTAGCGGTCCTGATCTACAAGACATAGTTGCTGCTGTATAAGCAGCCACAAGCATGTGGCATCCCAGGCAGAAGTCCGTGATTTCTCAGATGAAGAGCCCTACGAGGTCTTGTGGTGAAATCTCATGTTGCAGCAATTCTTATTGCATGTTCGGTGGAACTGTGCTGTAGTTCTTGTTGCTACATATTGATTGCGGCATGGTGCGTGAAGGACCTGGATCTGCCAATTGCCAAGCTCTTCATGAAGGGGGGTGCGCTGGATGACATCGCTCGAAGCGCTGGATGCTTGGATCGTGGCGAGTGGCCACCTGTTGGTACCTGTTAGATCTGCCTAACCACAGTGAAGCTTCTGCAAGGTCGCGCATCAGGTCTGCCGACAATTCTTTGGCCGGATTGCTTTTACTGCGCGGAATGCTTCTCTGGGTACACACCCTACCTTTGAGATGCTGGTGAAGTTGTGCCAAGACCATGAGTGGAAAGATGACGTTTGCCTGATGTTACCTTCAGTTTGTACTTCATGCCTTAAACTTGCACTGAGGGTCGTCAGACTGGCGCCAACATGGGGTGCCACCAGGCAAGAGATACCTAACGTAAACGCATCTGAGCAGTTAGTAATATGCGCTAGAGGAAAGTGAGTCAGATACGGAACACATCTCGAAAATCGGCCTGCAACAACATCGAAAAGTGGTTCCCACTGTGCGCGCAGAAGCTTTCGCGGAACCACTTTGCTTGCAGAAGCTCTTGCGGGAGCTCTTTCAGTTTTGCACGGAGAACACTCAAGACTAGAAATCCGCAGCACAGGTTCTGAGCTCTACATTTGTACAGTAGCTACGCTGCAGCACTCCTGCAAGACAACTCTGATGGCTTGAGCTTGTTTCAGATGCTTGTGGTTTTCTAGTGATGCTGCTCCAGGGGAGGGATTTTTTGATGGAGGAAATTGCGAGTGATGACCATCGAGTGAGCTTCATGGCCAGGATTCCCTTCTAAGCATTGATGACATGATTACTGAGCCTGCCGCGTAGATGGCGTGGATAGCCTTGTCTTTCACAGGTCGTTTTCCTGCCTTCGCCGTTGCACTGAGTACGGCCTACAACACGTCCAGGCGATGTGCGCAAGCAAACAGTGAAAGGTGTGTGTAACACATCCGAGCATCCGATCTCGCAGGTTTGGCTTTCTGGGAATTCCAAAGAACCAGCCCAAGGTGCACTGGTGCTTCATGATAATTGAAGCTCCCTTTTCCTACATGTCTTGCATCTTCCTACCTGCTGCTACGCCTAAAATCCCCAAAGCTGTCAATCCTTCGTGCAGAGGTTCCCGCCGGAAACATCGATCTGCTTGATGTAGTCAAAGTCAAAGCGCTGTCTGGCACAGGACTTTTGGTTGGGCCCCGCGCGCCAGGTCCTGACCGACTTTTTAGAGGCAATGACTCAATCGCTTGAATGCCACCAACCTTGAAGTGCAAGGAAGTCATCTAGTATGAACTGCATGCTGCATGTGGGTCGAACTGCACGTGCGGGATCGACCACACCGTGCGCGCTAGTATGCAGTGCTTTCATGCACCCCTAACCTATCAAGACATGCTAAGTCTTCTTACTGCTTCATTCTCATCTGAAGGCCAAAAGGTGTACATGAAATGTCAGACAAGAAGGAAGCTAGCACTTCTTTTGGAAAACTGCATGTGACTTCTGCGCATTCTGTGGTGAGTGCCCCGTATCCGTTCCGACATGTTCCTGCAAGTTTGCTGGCTTTTGTGAATTGGGCTCAAGCTGGAACCTTTTGCGAGGGTGGAGACTCAATAAGTCCCCTCGCCAAGTTGATTCGTCTGCCTGGTATAATTCAGTGGCCGGCTCGGCAATGGTCACGTGCTCAAATGCAGAAGCTGGCAAAAGCTTTTATCCTCTTTGTCAAATGCTTGTGCATGCGAATGCAGGTGTGCGTGCATGTTGGGACTTCCTCGTTGATGCGCTGAGGTAGCACATGTCCTTCGACAACCTTTGGTACCACCTTGCGCTCCTTGTAGCCAGCCGATGAAGACACCGCCAGAGAGCGACGATCTTCACAGCTTTATGCTGCCCCCGCCGGCTATCGAAACGTGCGATGAAAGTCTGTTGAACTTTGACTTTGTATTGCCAACTTCCGCATTCGAAGCTTGGCGTTGATTAACGTCACGTAGGTCTTTCTGCTGACTCTGTGCTGAGACATTTAGCTGCGTCTAGTCGCAGACTTGTCTGTATGACGATCAGGGTGACTTTTGGGATGAATCGTGCGTGCTGAGGAGGCCGTGCCCATCGAGCTGAGAGCCGCATGGAATGAAGATCACGACCAGGACAAAGGCAACGCCCATTCTCTTTGTTAAAATCCGCTTGTCACCACGGTTTCCCTATTTCGCGGTTGAAGTAGAGGAATAGGCTGTCAGCCCGTCGCAGCCAAAGAGCCCACAATATACTGCTGTGCTTACAGGCGAGGCTCAGGGGGAACAAGTCGCCAACAATGCGCCCAGCGATATGCAGCCACGCAAAGCCAGAATCGCCGTTGGGGTTTTACTGTAGTGGGACTTGCGCGCGATCTACGCGCGGGCGCACCCGAGGACAGCAAGTGCAGGCACAGGGCAAAAAGTGACGGATGGAAACGACAGGCGCAGAGCTTGACGGACCCACCCAGGCGTGTAATCGACTAGGGTGCAGCAACGGCAGGTCCCAGGACCCAGCGCTGGCACGTGTTGGCGGTTGGCCTCTACAGAGACATGTTTTGGGTCCTCTCCAACCAGACTAGTGAAATCGCCAAGGCTCGGAGGGTCCCGGTGAAGCTCCCACTCCTGCGCTTTCAAGCAGTCCGCGTCCAGACAATGCCTGTTACGCAGCCCAAAACAAACCCACAAAGCTTTTGCTGGAGCTGTGCCATATCTCGCAAGCAGCGAAGCCCGGTTCCGATTTGGAATGGTTTCAGTTGATCCTTTGTTGCTCTTCATTGCTAGGCTCCCGAATGATGGGCCGACAGCTGTATATGGCTATGAAGGCCAGTTGATCTGGGTGACAGGAAGTAGTGGTCAGTTCTTTGCTTTCTTCTGGAGAATTCACCGGATTTTGCTTCCCAAGAAATAACCTGATGCTGTTGGACGTTTTCGACACAGATGGAAGTTCACAGACACACGAGTAGCTGATTTTGCACATGTACTGTATCCTGCGGTCGGTGCCAGATACTCCTTACTCCTGCCAACCTGCCCCAAGAATTGCAGCATGTCCAACCTCCCTGGGAAGGCATTAATTCCTGCTACAATCGGCGAGGCGCAGCGCTGAAGTGCTTGGGTAGGGGTTGGCGTGCAAGTGCTCCATGTGCCTCTTGTGAATTGCAGAGCCGTTGTCTCTTTCGGATCCCGGATGCTCCACAGGTGCACGCGTGTACTCTTGAAAAGAGCAGTGAAAAGAGTATAGAGATGTCAACGTTTTTGGACCCTCGATCCCTGAACCTAACCCTTAGCCCTGAAAAAGCTCGTTCGTCAGCCCCAATCCCTAAACCGAGCCCTGAACACTAAATCGTGTACCTTAAGCCCAAAACCCCAAATGTAGTCCTAACTCGTATACCCAAAAGAAGTAGGAAGTGCAGCAGCCCTAAAACGAATCATTGAATCCCAGCCCTTGCACCCAGAACTGCTTATCTCAAAGCCCTTTGCTAAGTCATACTTCTAAATCGCGACCAACCCTACGCGCTAGCCCCAAAACAGAGCCCGATCATCCTTACCAGTATACCTTTGACCCTGACCTAAACTCACTAAAAAAATCCAGCCCGGGCCAGCTTTCAGGGAAAATATTCATGCAGTTCTTTCACAGAAAAATGCGCTCCACCTGAAAACCTAAAAAGCCCCAAATCCTTGCCCTGAATCGTTGAAATCCACCCAAGACTCTGAACCCTAACCCTAGACTGTGCACCCAAACCCGCGATGCCAAAAGACTGACCAGAACAAGCCTGAAGCCTGACCCGAAGCCCTACACCAACTGAAACCCTTACCCTGAAAGCCCTCATCCATGAACCCCTATCCCTAAACCCTATACTATAGCCGCATAATTGCCCTGAATTGTTTGTCTACCTAAAACCCTGAGCCCCCAATTCTACATCATGTAACCGAAATTGAAGTGCAACAGCCGCCAAACCCGAATCCGTGGACTGAAGCGCCCTTAGCTGACAGGGTCACACGCCTGCAGTACTGATCTCAAGTCCTCATCAGGCGCCTTTCTTGTCGTAAAGTTTTCGTGACACTGAAATCCCTAGAGTCCAACAGCCCGAATCCCGAAAGCCCTAGCATGCCAAAACCCTAAACCATGATCCCTGACTGTAAACTGTAAACCATAATATGAGCCTAAACCCTACTTGCAACAACCCTAAACATCTCAAGCCCAACCTTACGCCTTGACCGAGACCCAGAAAATGTCCCAGCCAAAGGCAGATGTCACGGAAAGTATACATGCAACTGCGTGTCCGAACGTCCAAACTGAAAACCTTCTATCGTATTTACTAAACGATTTACCCTGGACCCCGCGCCCTGATTGCAACAACCCTTAATCGTTTAACCCTGACGTCCTTAAGCCCTGACCCTAAACACCGAAACGTGTGTCTGAACCGCGTACCCCAAACTCTGAACCCTAAACCCTGACGGCAGCAACCACAGACCCCTAATCTTGAAAACCCAACCCCATCAATTCAAATCAAAACCCCAAAAAAATCAAATCAGAAACCATGTCCCCTGAATCTTAACCCTAGGAATTGAAACCGTGTACCCTAAACCTTAAACCTTTATCCCAATCCCAAACTCAGAGAGGTCGCAAGTGACCCCACGCATTTTGGCTGAGACATGTTGCAAATTCGTGTGCTTGAGAAGTCGAAGCAAGTGACCCCCAGGAGAAATCACTAGTGCCCTTCCTCCCAACATGATTATCGGCATCGTTCCACCACTGCTGAAGCCTGACTTTACAGGTCCCCAGACCAGTCCTTCCAAAGGAAGCGGCATGCCTGGCACCAAAAGCGCCGCTGTTTCCCCAGAGCTATGACACTGTGAGGATGCAAGCTGCAAGCTGCAGGCCTTCTTCCGTGTAGCGAGAGTGCTTTGATGCTGAGGATTCTGAGGCCCTCGCCATGGCCAATGGATTCAAAGAAGGCAAGGGAGTTTTGAATTCACACTAGCTTGCCGACAAGGCAGAGCATATACGAAGTACCTTCGTCCGTTCAGAGGTCTTATGCACAAGTAGGAAAGACATCTTCTCAATGCCTCTTGCAGCGAGGGATTGATTTCCGTCTGTCAATTTCTCCTTGACAAATTGCAAATCTGAAAGTAATATGAAATTTGTACAAGCCAAACAAGACTGCACCTGCCTGCTGCCACTGTTTTGTACATTAGCCCACGTGGAACGAACTCCAAGCTACAGTGGCAACGTTTGGCTTGAAGTAGTGATAGGACTGATAGTGTTTGAAGACATGTGCTTGGGCTTACATGCCGCTCAGACTCCTCACTGGCGCTTGGTTTTTTTGGCCGCATGCTTATGATGCTCAGGAAGGCTGCGTCGCAGCACACGACTTTGAATACGAGGTAGAAGTGTGAGATAGGCAGTCAATGTACACAAGATAACTGAAGGAGAATGGGATTTCCATCTTATAGTATATTCCTATATATTCGTAGAGGATGGGTAGGGTACTTGTCATCGAGATCATGACATGAAACCTAAAGTTTGAACCAAGCTTAATCCAGCAACAATTGTTTCATGAGCACCTCACTTGAAGGCCAAACGCATTGCTAGACATGACAGAAGTAGATGCGGGGCAGTACTAGCAAAAACTCACACTGTCCACTGTGTTGAAGTCAGCTTTGCGTTTCCTTTCTGATGTCCGCTGCTATGCGCAGATGCCTTGAGGTGGTGCTGCCGAGACGGCATTGTGAGGAGCACTACTGACAGCTAAACGTGCAGTTGAAGGAAGCCAACAGAAGTCAAACAGAAACACATGCAGATCCAGCCCGCTGAAAAAATAGAACCGAACGCACCAAACGACAGTTCAGACAGTTTTCATACGCGTCCAATGCCAGGCTCAAAATTTCTTAGCACAAAGGCAACTTGTGTCTTTTTGCGTCACTGCCATGGGAAGAAGGTTTGGGGATTGCAGGGCCGAAGGCTCCGAGAGTTGAAATTGGGCTGCATCCGCTTCAAACCCAATCTTCCGTTTCTCTTCAGCAAGAATAAGCCCTGAGCCAAGACAGGCAAGGCTGAAGAATTGCAGATAATGGCAGACTGTTGGGAAACTGGTGAAACTGCCGCGCCACTGCAGCTGTCAATATTCCAGTCTTTTTTGGTCAGAAGTATTTGGATCTACTTGAAGCAGTTTGCTGCAGCACCCGCCTGCACAGATACCGGACCTGATTCTGCCGGACTCTTCGGACCGCGGGGCTCACAACAACCTGAGACGAACTTGGGCAATCTGACAGCAGTTGATCCAACCACGGCATATTTGGTCACCAGGATGTCGACATGTTCGATGAGCTTGAGGAGTTGCGCCCTCAACTAAGTGGGAAGGCAAGGAGCACATGTTCAATGTTGGCACACCTGTTTTACTAGTTCTGAAGACTGCATGTTTGCAGTAGCTCTCAGTAGGCTCCGCGAATCAAGCAGAGCAGGTGACGAAGTGTGTCGAGTCCCAAACAGACCAGTTGAAGGCCTTCTGCTCTGAGACATGCAGAGCCTGACGCCCGATCTCTTTTGGTCAGCCATGAGCTTGCACAGGAAGGGCGCAGAAGCATCTTAGACCTTCTGTTGCTTGAACAAGAAGGCGGCAAGAAAAGCTACTTGCTTGACACATCAGAATCTGCACATACTACCGCCACTGCTGCTGCCTCTGTTCTTGTGCTTGGGCTGCTCCTCCGCTTCGTCCTCCTCCTCCTCGCCCTCATCTTCGTCCTGCGTCCTCGTCATTATGCTAATCCTCCTTTGTTCCTCTTCATCCTGTCTCGCATTTTTGTGCTTGTCCTCCTCCTCCTCCCATCATTGTTTTCGTAATCGATCACGTCGGCGTCGTCATTGTCGGTGTCGTTCTGCTCCTTGATCTTGTACATTGCCCTGTGTTGGCCATCCCCGTTTCATCCTTCGCGCTCTCTGCCTTGTCATGGCTGCTGTACTGAAATAATTTATGTAGTAGTACGCCCACGACAAGTTACTCCTACCGAAGCTCAAGTGTTCAAGTGCTCGTTCTAGTGCAGCTTGGAAGCCTCTCAGAGATTCAAGTTATAACCATATAAGCTCTTACAGGATTGCGTAGCCACATGATGAGGGCGGGGGCCGCTTCTGGGTTCCCTTTCGATCAGCATCTGAGGCTTTCCTGAGATGACCGATGAGCAGTCTAGGCCCCAGCAGCCCGCGGTAGCGAGTACATAGCAGATTGGTATTTGTGACTGCTGCGTGCTGCCCCCCATTTGACAAAACAGGTGGGGGCTGATGGTGGCAGACGGCCGCCGTCGCACTTCTACGTGCTCGACCGTAGCTTCCCTTAACGACATGGAGCCCCTGCAAGGAGCAACTAGGTTGCAATCAGATTTGAATTGGAGTAGGAAGTGAAAGCGAAGAATCCTGTAAGCACGCGGCCAGGTGGGACTTTCGTGCTTTTGTGCCAAGGAATGCCGAATCTCCAAGCTGTTGACTTCCTCTCTGAGCAAGTTTGCAGCTCCTGGGTTCGCAGAGGCTGCAAGCCCCGCCCTCGTGGGGTTCAATGAACAACATGCACTATCAGCTGTGTGAGTGTCTTGTGCTTTACTTGAAAGTCTTGGTCATCTGCCGATGGATTGAACCTTGGTTCCTCTTCATCTTACCATCTCACAGTCTTTTATTGAACCTCGTGCTTGCAGGACAAGGCATGTATACGCGCCACGGCAAACTTCTGAGGTCCCGTGTCGCTCTGACACTGATACATAGTTTGGACGTGCAGGCCAACATGGTCACCATTTGTACCGTTTTGCCTTCCCCTTACATTGCCAGACGAGCAGCCTTGCTGCGCAGGTTGGTGCGTGATGCGCCGTTTCATTGCCAACGTCTTCGCGTTTTCTCTGCCCTGGCATGTGGAGTTTCTCATAGAATCATAGAATCAAGTGCTTGATTTTGGCTTCAAAGCTGTGATACGTCTGGAAGCACAAGCCGTATGGGCCTGAAATTATTTTAAAGCTGGCAAGTTTTCCGCTCGCAGAAAGGCGGACATTTCTATTCTAGCTCTACTCGTAACCGGCAGTGTCTGGCTCATCTTGAATTCAGTGACCATCATGTAAAGCCTTTACCCACAACAAGTTCGATCGTAGGCTAGCAAGGTGGGCCGCATTTGCTCAGAAATCGAGCCATGTTTTTTCTACCAGCGCAGTAGCGAGAGGATTTGATAATGCGGGCGCTGGCCACAGTAGGGGAGGCATGTGGTACAGGATGCGTCGCTCTCTAGCACGCACTCAACATGTTGCAGACCAGGCAAAGCCAGACCACCAGATGAGGATTCATCCAATGTTTAAACAAGGGTATCTGCTGTGCAGTCAAGACGCGATTTTGCCTTCGTGTGGCTGATGCCTTAATTCAGGCCGATCGCAAGCTGCGGGTCTGGGTGCCGGTGTTACGGTAGCAAAGATGGCAGTAGCTAGGCGGAGGCGAGGGTTGTGCTGATATCAGCGAGGCAGCAGACATCGTCATCCTACCTGCTGCTGCTGCTGCTGCTGCTGCTACTGCTGGCTTTTGTTCTTGTCGCCGTCCTCCGCCTCCGCCTCCTCCTTTCCTGCTCCTCTTCCCCCTCCTCCTAGTACTCATCCTTATACGGGCGTTTATCTTCGTCTTAGTGTCATCCCTCATTGTTGTTGTCCTCTTTGTTGTCCTGCTCCGTCCTTGTTGTTCTGCTCAGTCCTCCTCCTTGTCCTCCTCATCATCATCCTTGCATCCTTGTTCTTTGCGTCTCCTTGTCATCTTCCATGGTGGTGGTGGTGGTGGTGGTGGTGGTGGTGGTGGTGGTGGTGGTGGTGGTGTGGGGCTGCTGCTGGGCTGCGGCTGCTGCTGCTGCTGCTGCTGCTGCTGGTGCTGCTGTGTCTGTGTAGTGACGAGGCTGCGCCGTGCAAGCCTCAGAAGTGGTTGTTTGCGTGGTATCAGCAATGGTTAGAGCGGCATGAGCACCGGTGTCAGCTGCGGTGTCGTCACATTAATAGTTGTAGCTCTGCTTGGCGTAGTTTAGCTGTTTGCGGGAGGGGAAGGACAATCAGGGGCGAGAATGAAATCGTGGTTGTTGCCGCTGTGACGGCCGCGTGAATCAGGGAGGCAGAATCGCAAATTTGCGTCAAGAACGACGTATATCTTCCACAGGCCTGTTCCGAGGTAATCTAACTCTCAAGCATCTCATTCAGCAAATGGGGTGTAATTAATTCAGTCAAGCCATTCAAGCACCACCGTTCTTGCTGCCGATTGAACCCGGCATGAGAAAATCTTCCTGAATTGGTACATGGCCGAGCTATGGGTGCCAGCGGCGCCATTTTCCTCGCTGCAAAGGCTATCGCCGTGTTACCTGCATGGTCAGCAGTGGCAAGGGTGCAGAGTCGCTGCGTCGAAGGCATCTAAAACGCGCGTCAATTTGACCAGAGACTGCCTCAGAAGGAGCCCTCAAGAAAGCCAGGGTTTCGGTTTTGGACCGTGGGTTTGCTGAGACAGCACTCTGGGCAAATGATTTTGTTGACGCGCGGATAGACTCGACGCATGAGGGGTGCTGATTTCCTCAACTGTGGCTGCTGAGACTTGTAAGTCGGCAAGCCTGATTTGGCGTCCCACTTGCTCTGTGCAACAGACTAGATGTCATAGCTCCTAATCTTGCAGTTTGTGGGTCAGAGCTTTCTTTTGCTCGATGTTGCCTTGATAAAGGTTGGTGTCAGGACGCATATCTCGCAGGCGCCGCATTTTAGCATGTCTTATGCTGCTTGTCGAATCGTTGTTTGAACCCTGAACGTCAAGCAGCACAAGACTCCGGTCCGCACCAAGGCTATGATGAGTGCTTGCACTTGCAGCGATTTCATGCTGCTTGTACAGAACGCTGTCAGGAAGCAGAGGCAGCACGCCACTCTTGGTGCACAGCTTCTGGTGCGATTCAAAAGAGTGAAGCATGGCAGCCAAACCTCTGTTAAGCTTCAGCGAAGACGTCTCTGTTGGTGGAAGGCCGTGTTGAATGGATCTTTGGTGCCGCCCTGTGACCCAGCTCCTGAAAGCTGCTCCAGGGTTGCGGTGCTTGTTGTTGCGTTTTGCCAGCAAATGTGCCTACTTACCTGCAATGTAATGCCAACCATCTTGAGGGCATTCAGCCTTGGGAATTGCCGAGGTCAAGAATGAGTGAAAGTCCCCCGGACGAGGACGAGGAGAGGTTGGCAGTGAAGTTGAAGGAGGCTCTCGTGGGCTCTCTTCGTAGGTCGCCCTTTTACACTTGGTAGCGACTTCTAAGAAGAGTGTTCTTCCTGCAGGCCCAGGCTGGGCTCCAGTTAATTCGGCCAGCAGACGGCCGTCCCAGAACCTTTGATTCAAGGAATGAGTCACCGACCCTCGCTGCACTTGCATCATTCAATCCTCTGGATTTTGTGCGCTGATCCAACGGGAAGCCCGAAAAGCTCTGGGATGGACAGCAAATGCACTTGAAGGTGCATCGCTCTGAGCAAGGCCCTGCTGGTTGCCGAGAAGCGGAAAGAGCTCAGTTTCCGTGCTCTTCGAGCAGCCCACACCAAAGCTCCTGCGCAAGTGCATCACACCCTCCCGAACCTGTGCGGGTACGCCAAGTACGAGACCCAAGATGCTTGTTTCAATCAAGGCTAGCGAGTCTGCCGAAACGCTCACGAACAGCCCGGCCACCTGTTGGATAGATGGGCAATGGACTTGCCGATGGCGAAGAGAAGCTGCAAGCTCCAGCGTACCGCCAAGAGCTTCCGCATCCTATTCTTGCGACGAGACGCTCCGGAGGAGGGCTCCTGCAAGAAGATCCGGGAGCAGAAGAAGAGGAACACTTGCGAGCATGAGGAGGAAGCAGATGCGGAGAAGAATCCAGGGGCCAGGAGTGAACAGCTGTCCACTGCTAGGCTGTTGTTGCCTTCGTTTGACTTCAGACAAGGACGAGATACAGGTGTTGTTGTTTTCCACTTTTGGTGTCTGCTTTTCTGCTCGCAATATTGGTAGGCTGCAGTAGACACGGGGGGGTGTAGCCGAGGATTCGCTTGCAGTAGCGTTGGCTAACGACATGTTCTCTAAAGCTAAAGCGATCATGAGTGCAGAGAAGTCGCTGCGAAGTCGAAATTTGCGCTGGGGTGAAGCAGCCTCCTGCACAAACATCGCATCGTGGCTGCCTGGAGAAAGCCTCAAACCATATATGAAGAGAAGACTCGGCAATTTCTTGACTTATCAGAGTATCTCAAGACAGACAATCATGTTGCCGGACTCTGCATCCCACACTTCGCAGAAGGCGCCATATGGTTTCTTGCCTCGATTTCGTCGCCTGCAGCCTTAACAAGCCATCTATAAAGCCCTTCTGCCAACTGTGCCCTTTACAGTAGCAATTTTGATTCAGTCTGCGCTTGTGGCAAGACTGTAGAAACAGATCAGGAGCCTGCGCACAGCGGATTTGTGCGAAAGCCAATCCCCGAGCTTGCAGTTCTGACTGCTGTGAAATGCAAAAACGGAGCTTCACGGAACTATTACTGTCGGCTCGTCGGCGTTTTGCAGAATGTTCCAGAGTCATCCACACTTCATCCAACTAGTTTTCACGTAACATTGTCAGCCGCGCTCGCTGATGTTAATTTGCAACCCAAAAGTGGTTAACAAGAAGTGATTAACGTTGATTCAACGGCTCAGGCTTGTTGGCCGTCGATGCCAGCAAGTTGTTGAGGACCGCATGCGTTTGCAAATCATCGCGTTGAGGCTTCTGTTTTCCAAGCACAGAGACTGACGCCTGCAATAGAGAAGGGGGATACTTGCTAATGTTCATGTCTGCACAGCCTCTTTCGAGCTATGGCGGGAGATGCTGTTCTCAGTGTATTGGTTCTGCTCATGCGTTGTCATGAACTGTGCACCTGTCAACACCATAGAAATATTGTGCAGAATCATACAGCCGCCATCCCAGCGACGAGGTCTAGAAACACAGAAAACCGATCATTTGGTAGCAAGGGTACAAGCCTTCTCAGGACAGTGACTCCGAAGCTCTCATTGAGGCACCTGTGTTGGTGTGAAAATTGCTCAAGCCGCGCCTCACAACACTTAGCCCAGGGATTTGACGAGTGGCGCCGGGATCACAGCGACCGCAGTCGACGCCTGGATCTCTTGGCGCCAAGGCCTTGGTTGATTTGGGCTCAGGCTTTAGGGTAAGTGTTTTGGCATGTCCGAGGAGTAAATGCACCTGGTGGCATAAGGTCTCTCTTGTTGCCACATAACATCAGCGCCGAACACTCAAATTGGGAGTGCGTTCTGGTGAGCAGCCATGGTATGGCTGGTGAACAACGATGGTATGACCATCTGCGCCTTTGAAAGGTCGGCTAAGGATATGGGCATTCAGGCCGCTCAGGCTACCATCGCAGCGCGTTTCCTTACTCAAGTGCACTTTTGGAAAGTGATCATGCGCTTTGCATCCATGAGCATTGCTCGGACCGTTTGATCATTGATGAGGTCTACAGGCTGGATTTTGGACAGAACGAGGCTTGCGCTTAGTTTTGTGGTGTTGGGTGTTGCCCAGAAGCATGCTTTTAGCGCTTTTTGGTTGCAGCTTGCCGCTTCTGCACGCAGTGCCCTCCGAACGTTCTTCGAAGCATCTCGGCGGGCTACTCCGGATATTTCTTCGCGCATCCTCATGCCAGGCACACTTCTGTTCCACAGTCTAATTGACGGGTGCCTCTTGACCTGCTCCCTGTAGAACAGGTGGATAGGAAAGTACAGCCAGGTCGCATTGCTTTGTGGGATTGGTGCATGTGGGAAGGAACCTGCTCGAGCAGTTGAAAAATGCATTGCCATTCTGCTTACAAGATTACAAGAAGAGATCTACTGCATGGAAGCTGCTTCTACTCCTGGCCTTCCTTGTCGCAGTACTTGATACTTCTATGCAACAAGTAAGGAGGACTGTAGACAGTGTTTTAACTGACATCAAAACTGGTGCTGGGATGATCCGAGCATGGCCGAGCCAGCCGAAGACAGAGAGGCAGGATTGCACAGGATGTTGAGAGCCTTGAGGTTCTTTTGGAATGATTGTTTTGATACCTAGCAATGGCGTTCGGGCGGTTGACATCCGCTGACCCTCGGACATGCTCCTTTGCCTGCATGCCACTTACCCGATGTTTGCCATCATGTGCACAGGGCTCCGATGCGCCAACAGCTGAGGAGGTCAGAGCTCGATGTTACCTGCCTTTCATGTGTGACCCACATAAGCTGAGCTCGTTGGTTGCTCTCTCCCTCACACTGGCTTGGCTCTTCCAGTCCCGACACTTTTTCTGACCTGCCTCGCAGCAGGCGCGGACCGCTACAAAGAGATCTCAGATCGCTATTGTAAACTGGGTTACTATTCCGGGACGTAACTTAAGTTGCCACTACAAGGAAGCCGCAGTATTACCGCGTATATACATATACATAATTGATGCATATCCATATTTTCGATAGCATAGTTTAAAGTTCCTTGACAGCAACCCGGCCCTGGAAAAGTGGACTCTCAGCAACCTGCATGGGACGAGTAACGGTGCTGTGCAATGTTGATGATAGCCTCGAGAAGCCTGAGTTGCCAAGAGGCACGCGTTGCCGCACAAAACGTCGGGGAAGGGAAGGAAGGGCTAGCGAGAGGATGGGAGAAGGCCGAGAGCCTGCTGCGTCAGTTCCGGATTTCCCGTCTGAAAATTATTTCAATGTGAATTGTGGTGGTGCGGTTCATGGAATCATGGCCCATTTGCATCAATGACAGACGCCATCAAAGCCATCGAGCCCGCCGATCTTTCGCATTCTGTGAGGTGGAGCAAATCTCAGTTGTTGTTCGCGGAGTAACCGGAGAAGAGGCCGGAAGAAACCTGCCGAGATGCGCAGCACCTGTCTTGAGTTTTCAGCCCTTTTCTGTGTCGTTTGAATTGCGGTCCTCGTGACATAGGTGCATATCTGCATATACTGCAGGTACTACGTCATGGAACGTAAGTTGCTCTATTCAGGTGGCTACGCTGCAGCTCCCGGCAGCCGAGGCTACGATCTTTGATGCCAAGGCAGAGCATTGCGAACCTGCGGTACCTTGAGGTTCCAGTTATAGGCATAACATGTTGTAGGATAAGGACTAGCGTTACCAGAGTCACGGGAGTGTTTCTCAGTTCATCTTCAGGTAGCTTTGAGCTCGAAGCTGCTTGTGCCGCTCTACACGTGGCTTGGTCTGCCAGCAAAGACTTCATGCTTGAAGTTCTCAGGAAGCAGGAGCTACAATAGGACCAATGACAAGGACCTCCAGTCATGTGAAGTTGGCCATACCAGGTTTGTGCCCTTGTGCGGCCATTTTCTGCTGTTTATGTCAAGGCAGCAGCTGCTACTGTCATCCAGCGAGCAAGTGCTCGGAGACAATGAAGAACTCTCCAATCTGCAAGGCAAAGCTTGGTGCAGTCATTACTGTCATATTGCTGTCGTTGCTGATGTCGAAAGAATGTTGCGTAGTCCAGAACAGTGGTTCGGAATAGAACGAACCTTCGGCCCAACGAATGAATATAAAGGGTGCGAATCGAGCAAATTTTTGTCACGAGGCAGCAACGAAATAATGACATGCATGCCTGACGTGGAAACCCAAAGGTCCTGCCTTTAGGATTCCTCCAGGATCCCACCCAAACAACTTTTCCCTAATTCAATTGGGGGACCCCTCATTACTTAGAATCGTCAGTTGATGTGGAGGGGGCGCGGGGAGTGCGAGGGGTTTGCTTGAAGGCACAGAGGGCAGAGGGCTGCATATTATGGGCAGTACGTTATAGTACAATCAGCTGGGCTCGGCAGTGCGCATTCGTGGAGGCTCGGAAGCCTTGCTGGAGCTGTGCTATGTCCGCCTGGCCTTCGACGAGGCCGCGTCGGCCAGGCTTCTGGTCCATGTCGCGGACTTGGTTTCTTTGCAGCTGGTTGCGGGGTTGGGATTTTGTCTTGAAAAGGAGGGGAGGACGGGTTGCCTCAGGCTCCAAGTTGGACACAACTGTGGATTCTGAGCAGTGGTGTGCCTCCAGCATTGAAAAAACAGAAGATCTCCATCACCCGCACTGCAAACGAGGCGTGGCGAGGGGAGGCCGCAGAGGTTGAGTACGTCTGGCCAGTATTGCTAGAGCAGCTAGAGAGACTTAGCCATGATCGATTCCACAGATCCTTCTTCACTCCTTCTGGTAAAGAACTGATTGACGCATCCAATGGACATCTTCCATCGTCGATATCACAGGCGGTTTATCAGCTCTGTGCTGTGGGTTCACACTCGATTTAATTTTTGGGATGTATGGCAGCACGCGTCTGCAGCGGGAGTTGCTGCCTAAGTCTCTTTCCACGTGCCATCAGCAAACGGCGTGCTACCTTTCATAGCACAAACGAAAAGAAGTGCAGCCCCTGCTTGCCAGGCAATGCTTGATCGCAAGAGCATGCCCAGATCATCGCAGCGATGAGGACGCTTCTCTAGCTCACGGGTGAATAGGACTGGCGCTTGCCGAGCTCTTGACTTGGTCTCGGTTTGACACGTATGTGCTGGACAACCTGTGCACGTGTCCCCGCCCCGAATGCTGCAGGATGGTCGTACGGCGCTGCTATCTGCGGCTCTTCAGGGCCACATAGAGGCTGCACTGCATGCACTGCTATTGCCGGTCAGTGGCTATTGTCAGACTGACAGGTTGCAAAGTTGCTGTGCCGTGCTGGTTGGGCCCTCAGACAATGCGGGAGACACGCCACTTTCACAACCGCCCGCCGTGACAGCCCAGGCGCAGCTATTGATCCAGAAGAAAGCGATGGCGCTTCGCCAATGCTTCTTGGCCCCAATCAGCGTTTTACAGCCTATGCAAACTAGCTGAACCTTTCGGAAAGCATCTAAGTCATCATCCCAAAGTCAAAACGCAACGCGTCCGTGTTTAGTGTGATAGTGGACGCTGCCGGTTCCAAAAAGCACCGGGCGAGAGTTAGAGCTGTAGGACGCATCTTGCCACCCCTTGTCTGGGGTGGCACTAGGCTCACTCTGTTTCGAGGGCACCGAAAACAGGCTACTTGCGCAGGATAGCCAAAGCCAGCAAGCCCACTTCTCTCACACTACAGTCAACGGTAATGCCTCAGCAAGATGCTTGAGCGCATGGGTCGTGTTGTGCACTGAGAGTCCGCACATGCGGAAGCGCGCCCACTGCTGGAGCACGTGGCTGCGCATTGCGTCTAGTGAGAGGAGTTTGTTCAATTTGGCATGCTGTTCTGCCGTCATGCCGGCGCATGCAAACGCGAAAAAGCTAGCCCCCTTGCTAAAGTGGGCCACAAGATGCTGAAGTGGATAAGCAGACTGGGACTGGTCTCAACATGTCGAGGCTTGCTGCTGCCATGCAGGGCAGACTGGAGGCCTTTCGGCTGCAAATGCTGCGACCCAAAATGACCCAAACAGGCGGCCTTTCCAGGCCTTGGGATACATGGGATGAAAAGGGGATTACACCGGCCACAGTTTATAAGGACCACTAGGGATCACAGGGAGATCATTGTGCTGCGTGTTGACTGTCTTCTGTCAGCAGAATTTGACATGATTCTGCACCAAAAGAAGCTTGTAGTGTAAGCTTTTCAAGTGTCAGCTGGAAGTGAACTCCCCTGAGGTTCCATTTGTTTGTTCCACAGGCAGATCAGAAGAGTTCATAGCAAGTCTTGCGTGTCTTGCTGTCAGATGGTGAAGTTCCTCGCAGATGCGAAGGCCGCTGGAAGCGAATCACGTCTGGAGGTATGCGTCAAAATGTACTAAGCAACGGCCAATGTATACGTGTGGTAGGCGTCCTAGTGATCCTAGTAGCAGTTGTCATCTTCGTCGTCGTCTCGTCCTCCTCGTCATCCTCGTTGTAGTCGTAGTCGTCGTCGTCGTCCTCGTCCTCGTCCTCGTCCTCGTCCTCGTCCTCCTCGTCCTCCTCCTCATCCTCCTCGTCCTGCTCCTCCTCCTCCTCCTCGTCCTCCTCCTCCTCCTCGTCCTCCTCGTCCTCCTCGTCCTGCTCGTCCTCCTCGTCCTCCTCGTCCTCCNCGTCCTCCTCGTCCTCCTCGTCCTCCTCGTCTTCCTCGTCCTCCTCGTCCTCCTCGTCCTCCTCGTCCTCCTCATCCTCCTCGTCCTCCTCCTCATCCTCCTCCTCGTCGTCGTCGTCGTCGTAGTGGTGGTAGTAGTAGTAGTAGCAGCAGCAGGAGTAGTAGTAGTAGTAGTAGTAGTAGTAGTAGTAGTGTAGTAGTGTAGTAGTGTAGTAGTGTAGTGTTGTAGTAGTAGTAGTAGTAGTAGTAGTAGTGGCAGCAGCAGCAGCAGGAGTAGTAGTAGTAGTAGAAGAAGTAGTAGTAGTAGTAGGAGGAGGAGGAGGAAGAGGAGGAGTACTAGCCAACGGCTTGTAGACCGTACCCCCATTTGGAGGGCTTCTGCTTGTTCATTCATTCCTTCTATGTGCGCTGTCGCGCTCCGGAGTATGTTATCTTGTTTTTCTTGAAGCTGACTCGCTTGCGCAATCCTTTCTATAGCACCCATGCCAAAACAATGATAACTAACGTTCGTGTTCCGAGAGCACACGGAGCACCCATGCCCAAAACATAATAGCGTTCGTGTGCCAAGCGCAGAAGGCGGCCAAAGCATCCATGCCCATCCATAATAACGTTCGTGTTCCAAACGCATACG